TCCTTTCTTTTTCTTTTCTCCCCCCACCCCCTTTTTTTTAAATGCCAATATTGGGGCTTGAACTTAGAGCCTGGGCACTATCCCTTAACTCTTTCTTTCTTTCTTTCTTTCTTTCTTTCTTTCTTTCTTTCTTTCTTTCTTTCTTTCTTTCTTTCTTCCTTTCTTCCTTTCTTCCTTCCTTCCTTCCTTTCTTTTTGTTGTTGGTCATGCGGCTTGAACTCTGGGCCTGAGCTCTGTCCCTCAGCTCTTCATCTCAAGGCTAGTGCTCTACCACTTGAGTTACAGCACCACTTCCGGTTTTCTGGTGGTTTATTGGAGATAAGAGTTTCACGGACTTTCCTGCCCGGGCTGGCTTTGAACCGCAATCCTCAGATCTCAGCCTCCTGAGTAGCTAGGATTACAGGCGTGAGCCACCGGCGCGGCGCCCGGCTCCCTTAGCCTTTTCTACTCACATTCAGAGGCATTCCAGCTTTCCTCATAAGTCAGCCCCTGCCTGGGGTCCCGTTTATACCAGCCCGTCCTTATCTACTGGGTGAGGTCTTTGCTTTCTGCCTTTTTGCTCTTTTCATCTACAGAGAGGCAGCAAGCTCTCTCTTCTTCCCACACGCCTTCCTTCCTTTCTTTTTCCTTCCTTTCTTCCTGTGCCGAGGTTTGAACTTAGGGCCTTGTGCTTGCTAGGCAGGCAAGCATGAGGTTATGTTTCAGATATGGATTTGATTTTTGCTTGAGGCTTGCTTCAGACCACAGTCCTCCTACTTGTGGCCTCCCGCTTGGGTGGGATGACAGGCATACACTGCCATACCCTGCTTGTCTCGTTGAAATGGAATCTTTTTTTTTTTTCTTTTTGCCAGTCCTGGGGCTTGAACTCTTGGCCTGGGCACTGTCCCTGAGCTCCTTTTGCTGAAGGCTAGCACTCTACTACTTGAGCCACAGCACCACTTCTGGCTTTTTCTTTTTTTTTTTGTCAGTCGTGGGGCTTGAACTCTGGGCCTGGGCGCTGTCTCTCAGCTCTTCAGCTGAAGGCGAGCACTCTACCACTTGAGCTATAGCGCCACTTCTGGTTTTCTGGTGGTTTATTGGAGATAGGAGTCTCACGGTCTTTCCTGCCCGGTCTTTCCTGCCCGGGCTGGCTTTGAACGGCGATCCTCAGATCTCAGCCTCTTGAGTAGCTAGGATTACAGGCGTGAGCCACCAGCGCCCGGCTACTTCTGGCTTTTTCTGTAATTAATTGGAGATAAGAGTCTCCTGCTAGGGCTGGCTTCATACCATGATCCTCAGATTTTAGCCTCCTGAGTAGCTAGGATTGCAGGCGTGAGCCACCAGTGCCCAGCTTGGAGTCTTGCTTTTTGTCCAGGCTGATCTGTACCTTCCCAGTATCTGAGAGTCCCTACACTTAGCTTCATATCTTATGCGGAGAGCTCACTGCTCACCTCGCAAAGGCCTGGTCTCCAGATTCCATTGCACTGGGTCAGGGCTTCAGCATGTGAACTCTGGGGTCAAATATTCATTGGGTACAAACACTTGGTTGATAGCAGAAAAAGCCTTTCCTTCTCTTTTTACATTGAACACAACTTCCTTCTTGGGGTTTAGCTTCTACATCAGTATTAAGAGGATAGAAATGAGAATGTTCCCCATGAGCCACTGCCCATGGCTCTGTGTCCGGCCTTTCTGGGGAACCTGTCCCTAGCCTGGTCTGTATTTTCTGGTTGTTCAGAGGCACTGTGTCTGACCAGACAGTCACCTTCCTCAGTGCATGCGCATTGGCTCACACCTGGAATGAACTCTCCCATGATTCAAGATGCCTTGGGAATCTTTGCAAAGGTCAGTTACACAATGTCAAGGTATGAATCCTTGGCCAGGACAAGATGAAGAAAATCCTAGCCCTGCCTGATCAGCCATGGGCATTGAAAGAGCCCAGGGTGGCATGTGGCTGAGCCTAGTCACCCCCCGAGAAAGGTCATACCTTGTCTCATCTTAGTAATGAAGGCTTTTTATAGTCTACTTTCTTGGGATGAACTTTGTTCTTAATTAAGAATTCTAATTTTAAAGTGAGCTCTGACCTCTTTCTTTCCTGACTCCTCCTCCTGCTTTGATAGAATGTTCTGGCTAGAAATAAAGATCCTTTATTGTCTGTTATCTCTGTTTTTCCTACCTCAAATGGCTTCATCTTGATAGACTACTGATAAGGGCTGTGGGTCTTTATTTTCTTTTTTGGGATCCCAGACCAGGACTGGAATCCTGTACCTGACACTTTGACTCATTGGCTAGTGCTCTATCAACTGAGCCACACAGCCAATCTTCCCACTCTTAGGTCTTTATTCAGATGCTAAACAGGATGGAAGCAACTGAGACCCTTATTTAAGTAAGCGGGGCTCTGGCTAAACTATGTTCCAGCCTTCATCCCAGTAACTCCTTTAGAGTGTGGAGAAATGAGAACTTGGTAAGGTCAGTGCTCAGGACAGAAGTTACTTTCCATTGGAGAGTGTTGTTGTTGTCGGGTTTTTTTTCTTCTGGGAGTCACTGTTGGTATGACAGGAGCCCATGTACTTCCAGCAGGAGGGGCCATGGTCCTCTCGGTGACACAGCCACGGAACTGAGCGGTAGCTCAGCCAGGTGCACACATTGCTGAGTGCAAGGATGTGGCTGGCAAGCCTCAGGGAGCAGCTGGTGCCCATCAGTGGAACAGGTAGCAAACTGGAACTACACATGTGGTGTGTCTTGAGATCTAAAAAATACACACTGGACAAGAAAAACAGGTGACACAGTATAGTTTAATACCATTAATAATAGGCTTGAGAGCAGATCAACATTTCTGTGGTCTTTGGCTACACAGAAGGAGTGGAGGCATAATGGAAGGCAAGGCAAGGTGAATAATCAAATTCAAGAGTGGCCACTTAGGGCTGGGAAGGTGGCTCAGTGGTAGAGTGTTTGCCTCACATGCATGGGGCCCTGGGTTCGATTCCTCAGCACCACATAAGCAGAAAAGCTGGAAGTGGCACTATGGCTCAAGTGGTAGAGCGCTAGCCTTGAGCTGAAGAGCTGAGGGATAGTGCCCAGGCCCAGAGGTCAGGCCCCACGACCAGCAAAAAAAAAAAAAAAAAGAGTGGCCACTTCTAGGATGTGTGCCAGTGCTCATGACTATAATCCCAGCTACTCAGGAAGCTGAGATCTGAGGATCACAATTTGAGCCAGCCCAGGTAGGAAAGTCCATGTGACTCCAATTAACTACCAAAACACCACAAATAAAGCTGTGGTTCAAGTAATATAGTGCCAACCTTAACTGGAAAAAGCTAAGGGACAGGGCCCAAGCCCTAAGTTTCGGTCCCAGCACTGGTATATTTAAAAAAAGAAAAAGAGCGGCCACTTTGGTAAGAGGGAAGTGAAGTCTTAGGTATTCATAAGGGACATTAATGGTTTCTCGTTTTTATTGTTTTGTTTTGTTTTTTGTGGGTCCAGTCGTAGGGCCTGAACTCTGGGCCTGGGCACTGTCCCTCAGCTCTTCAGCTCAAGGCTAGTGCTCTACCACTTGAGCCACAGCGCCACTTCCAGCTTTTTTCTTTTTGCTTATGTGGTGCTGAGGAATCGAACCCAGGGCCTCATGCATGCAAGGCAAGCACTCTACCACTGAGCCACCTTCCCAGCCCTATTGTTTTGGTTTTGTGTGTTGTTTCGTTTTGGTGTCTTTGATATAGTAAGGTTTGAACTCAGGCTTCACATTTGCTAGGCTGGTGCTCTATTGCTGGAGCCACCCCCCCCAGTCCTTTTGCTCTTTTGTTGTTGTTTGCTTACTGTACTGGGGCTTGAACTAAGGGCTTTGTGCTCTCACTTTGGCTTTTTCCCTCATGGCTGGTTCTCTACAACTTGAGAACCACAACTTCATTTCCAGGTTTTTGTTTGTTTTTCCAGTATCTGGTGATAAGACTCTCACAGATTTGTCTGCCTGGGCTGGCTCTGAACTATAGTTCTCAGATCTCATCTTTCTGAGCAGCTAGGATTATAGGCATGAGCCACCAGCACACTTGGTTATTTTTGAGATAGGATCTTACTCTTTTGCCAAGCCTACCTGAGCCATCCTCCTCCTATTTATGTTAGCTAGGATGACAAATCTATATCACCACTCCTAGCTTTTTCTTTCTGTGTTGTTGTTGGTGGTGGTGAAGCTTGAACTCAGGGCCTGGGAGCTGTCCCTAATATTTTCTGCTCAAGGCTAGCGTTCAACCATTTTGAGCCATATAGATCCACTTCTGGGTTTCTGGTAGTTAATTGGAGAGAGGAGTCTTACAGACTTTCCTGCCCATGTTGGCTTTGAACTATAATCCTCAGATCTCAGTCTTCTGAGTAACTAGGATTACAGGCATGAGCCACCATTTCACAGCCAGCTTTTTCTATTAAGGTAAATTTTTGGAGTCAGGTGCTAGTGGCTCACACCTGTAGCTACTCAGGAGGCTGAGACCTGAAGATCATGGTTCAAAGCCAGCTCGTGCAGTCCATGAGACTCTTATCTCCAGTTAACCACCAGAAAACCAGAAATGGCACTGTGACTCAAGTGGTAGAATGCTTGCCTTGGGCTGAAGAGCTCAGGGACAGTGCTCAGGCCCAGAGTTAAAGCCCCATGACCAACAACAGCAACAAAAAAGATAAGTTCTTAGGAACATTTTGTCTAGGTAGCCTGGAACTTGATCCTCCCATGCCTGCCTCCATGTGGCTGGGATTACAGGTAGGAGCCACCAGCGCTGAGCCTCATTGAGTTACTTTTCACTTTGCTACTTACATGTGAGGGGGAGAAATTATATGCTCAAGGGAATCTTCACATTTCCAGCATATCTTGTTCATCAATTACAATGCCAGTAGCCAGAGCTAACAAATGCCTCCCAAAGCAGAGGGATGAGGGGAAATGTTGTCCTTCAACATGGTTGTACAATCCTTGCAGTAGCCTCCTGCTCACTTAAGGCTGGTTTTGATGTCATGTTCTGAGATCAATGTTTGCTTTCCATTAACAGCATGGCCGGACCCCCCTGCATCTTGCTGCCAATAAGGGCCATCTTTCTGTGGTCCAGATCTTGCTGAAGGCTGGCTGTGACCTTGATGTACAGGATGATGTGAGTAGAAGCCATCATTTGATCTGAGGAGGGTTGGAAATTTTGTTCCTTTACCCTGGCTAGCCTTAAACCATAATCACCCAATCTCTATCTCCCAAGTAGCGAGGATTACAGGTGCAAGCCCCCATACCTGCCTGGCCGTGTGGTAGAATTCCTCTAAGAAATAAGCAATTTTGTGAGCAATACAAAGTCTTGGCAAGTTTGCCCTCATCTTAACATCTTCCGGATTCATCTGTAATAACACTGGTAGTCAAGCCAGGTGCTGGTGGCTCACACCTGTAATCCTAGCTACTCACTCAGGAGGCTAAGATCTGAGGATCATGGTTCAAAAGCCAGCCTGGGCTGTGCACTGGTGGCTCATGCCTGTAATCCTAGCTACTTGGGAGACTGAGATCTGAGGATTGCAATTCAAAGCCAGCCCAGGCAGGAAAGTCTGTGTAACTCTTATCTCCAATAAGCTATTCAGAAAACCGGAAGTGGCGCTGTGGCTCAAGTGGTAGAGCACTCACCTTAAGCTCAAGAGCTGAGGGACAGCACCTAGGCCCAGAGTTCACGCCCCACAACCCCCCCAAAAAAAGAAAAGCCAGCCTGGGCAGGAAAGTTCATGAAACTCTTTTGTTTTTTGGGTTTTTTTTTTTTTTTTGGGTCCAGTCGTGGGGCCTGAACTCTGGGCCTGGCCGCTGTCCCTCAGCTCTTCAGCTCAAGGTGAGCGCTCTACCACTTGAGCCATAGCACCACTTCCGGCTTTTTTCTTTTTGCTTATGTGGTGCTGAGGAATCGAACCCAGGGCCTCAGGCATGCAAGGCAAGCACTCTACCACTGAGCCAATTTCCCAGCCCCTCATGAAACTTTTATCTCTAATTAACCACTAGAAAACCAGAAGTGGAGCTGTGGCTCAAAATGGTAGAGCACTAGCCTTGAGCAAAAGAGCTGCGTAGTAGCACCCAGGCCCTGAGTTCAAGCCCCAGAACCAACCAAAAAAAAGAAAAGAAAAGAAAGTAGTAGTCAAGTTTCAGGGTATGGATTACCAAAATGCTTTAAAGTTTCCTTGTACCTCTGTGCAATGTCTTAAGACTTTGCGAACACTGTTTATAAATGAGAACAATGTCTGCAAAGAAATAACCATGGCATTGTGTTCTGCATAGGCAGAAGGCCATCTAGTGGTGCTCACAAGTCTCTGGTCTACTTGAACCTGTAAGGATGTTGTTTTCCTAAGATGCTGATTTCACTTTAAACTGATGATTTTTACCTTGGGTCATACTACTATATTTTTCTACATTATAACCAACATTATACTCCTGGCCCATATCACCTCCCTCGATGACAGGAGGGAAACATAGGGGCAGGGGAGAGATGTTGCCCACAGGAAAGGTGGGGCTTGTGCTGTTGGCATAATCAGGTTGAGATCATCTGGTCTTCTGATTAAAGCTCTGGTTTGCACGGTGGCAAGGCTCAAATGACAGGCACACTAGCTCATCTTCTGCTTAGGTACTGAGCTCTGAGGATCCCTGTGTACTCATGCAGAAAACACCATGCAAATTTCTTAGCACGGCTGCTCTTTCTGTTGGGCAGGGTCAGAAGTAAAATCGGAAGAAATTGTCACAAACAGCCAAAATGCTACTACAACTGGTGGGCAGAAAGAAAGCCTTCTCTGGCTGAAGATAGGCACATCCTTCTTCTTCTTAGAATTTCTTTCTAGCATCTTTTTCTTGCCTTAGATAATGCACGCCTTATTTCTCCATTTAATTTAAATTAAAATAAAACAAAAGATAATAACACACACTGTAAAACCTATTTAAGAGTAAATAAAGTAGAACATTCAGTGTCTGATACTTGGCTACCTTGACTGATGAGTAGAAATAGAGAAAGTTAGCTAGCTCATACCTGAAATCCTAGCTAGTCCGGAGGCTGAGATCTGTGGATCCAGTTCAAAGTCAACCAGCCAGGGCAGGAAAGTCCATGAGACTCTTACCTTTAATTAGCCAGCAAAAGATGGAAGTGGATCTGTGGCTCAAGTGGTAGAACTCCAGCCTTGAGTGACAGTGCCTAGGCCTGAGTTCAAGAGCCAGTACTGGCATGTGCACATGTGTGTGTGCGCACACATGCACACACAGCATGTTAATGTCTTGAAGAACTTACTACAAACTTTACATTCTACAGATACTGATCTTTATGGCAGGGTAAGGACTGAGAATTAGTTGAAGAATGACCTCCAGTGGCCAGGAGTGGGACTATTCTGAATTGCAACCCGTGGAAACCAGTTCTTTAGAATATGCAAATTCTCTCGCTTCAAGCCAATCCCCTCAACTCTCAGTGGAAGCTCTAAGGCTGTCTCTGATTGGTCAATGAACAATCACCCAGCCCCTACTTCACAAATACTCCAAGATACTTGTGGCCACAGTAAAAGATATGAAGGAGGCAAAAAATAAGAGAAACCAGAGAAGAAAGGCTAGGAAGAAGCCCCAGAAAGTCAGAGAGAAAAGAGGTCAGCACCTTGGTTTGGGCACTCACCTTGGTAACATGTGTGCTTGGGTCCTCAAGGGGGAGGAATTCCTCTCAAAGAGGACTGCCTTCCATCCCAGCATGACTGGGAGTTCTTCCAGGAGCTTGGCTTTAGAATACTCCCTGTATTCCACCACACTGAAGAGGGAAATAAAAGCCTTTCAAAACAAAGATTTAGACCTCAGAGGTTCCAAAGCTTTTTTTTTTTTTTTTCCCCAGAGCTGAGCCAAAGCTTTTATGTGAGTAACTGAGATGTCTTAGCAAAAGAGAGGGCAGATAGTACTTGTTCCTTTGCAAACAGGTCAGCATGTTCCACATCAAAGTGCCAAACTGTAAGGTTGTTGGCTCTTCCAGCTTCCGGCTGCAGACTTTTTCCTTTGCTTCTGTAAGTAGTCATCCAGCAAACCGTGGCCAGGGCTCTGTGCTAAGCACTTAGCTTACATAATGAGGCTGCTCCAACCTCTCCGACACCTGTTTCTCCCCCACCCTACCTTCATTTGCTAAGGTTAATTGGCTTCACAGGGCCTTGATGACTTGAATTCTGACCCAACCAGGATACCTAGTTGGTGAGGTAGAGCAATATCGTCAGAGAATTAGATGCCATGATACTTGGTGCTTAGTAGGGCATTAATAAATACCCACTGAACTAATGCTGATGGAAGAATTGTATGTTCCCAGAACTTTTTGAAGTTTCAGAATTGATATAGAAATAGAGATAGTGGCTGCTTGCAATCAGATATAGTAGAGCACTTTTTATTTTTTTGTCAGTTGTGAGTCCTGAAATGTGGGCCTGGGCACTATCCCTCAGCTTTTCAGCTTAAGGCTAGTGCTCTACCACTTAAGCCATAGCGCCACTTCCAGCTTTTTCTGTTTATGTGGTGCTGAGGAATTGAACCCAGGGCCTCATGCATGCAAGGCAAGCACTCTACCACTGAGCCACCTTCCCAACCTCTAGAGCACATTGTGTGTGTGTGTGTGTGTGTGTGTGTGTGTGTGTGTGTGTGTGTGTGTGTGTGTGTGTGTTTCAAAGAGGAAATCTCTCAAAAGCAACTTTTAATTTTGTAGGAGCCAAGAGTGATCAGCAGTTAACCAGCCAATTCAGCTGAGGGTCTCAAATGTTAAGCTGTGTGTGTGGTTTGTGTTGTGTTCAAGGGAAAGCAGTTCCAAGGTGATAACTTGAGCCAACTCTTTGTGCTGTGGTGGTCTCTTAGAACCTTTCATTCTTGGAAGTGGCGCTGTAGCTCAAGTGGTAGAGCGCTCGCTTTGAGCTGAAGAGCTGAGGGACAGCGCCCAGGCCCAGAGTTCAAGCCCCACGGCCGACAAAAAAAAAAAAAAAAAGAACCTTTCATTCTCATCTTAGTAACTTAAAAAAATGTTTTTTTTTTGTTGTCAGTACTGGAGCTTGAACTTGGAGCCTGGGTAGTTAAAAGTTAACAGTAGTTAACTTTTTTTTTCTCAAGCCTGGCACTCTACCACTTGAGTCACAACTCCACTCCTAGCTTTTTGGTGAATTGGAGATAAGAGTCTAACCGACTTTTCTGCTGGGGCTAGCTGTGAACCATGAGCATCAGATCTAAGCCTCCTGAGTCGTGAGGATTACAGGGGTGTACTACAAGCTGCCTGGTTACAACATTGCAATTAGAGGAAAGAGTCAAGTTCCCTTTATGCCTCACGGAGAAATATAGTTGATAATCTAAGGATGTGTTCCCAGGGAAAAGAGGTCAGAATGAAGCGCAATCCCCCATAAACCAGAGTGAGTCAGTCTCATGTTTTGATGACAGGTATATAATTTGTTCACCGATTTGCAGTAGTCAAAAGCAATGCAGAGAGGATCTGGGAAGGTGGACCAGTAGACCTGCCTCAACCTGATTTATAGAGGTGGGGGGAAAGGCTCAGAAGGTCAAGAACAGGAGGTGATGGCAATGCTAAAGAGTCTGGTGCAGTGTGGAAACAGGGCTGGATATGCTGACCTCCATTACCTGTGAGTCTAAGTCTGTAACCTGAGACTGAGGATTCTGAGACTTAGGGAATCCCATTTGTGTATAGTGTTATTGTTTAGACTTAATTATTAGTAGCTTTTCCTGATGCTCACAGATGTCTATGTGACATATAAACAGTTGAGAGCTATTTAAAAGTGTAAGAAAATAAAATCACTTCTGCTCTGAATTTTTATTTTTATTTGGTCCAGTAGTGGGGCCTGAACTCTGGGCCTGGGTGCTGTCCCTCAGCTCTTCAGCTCAAGGCTAGTGCTCTACCACTTGAGCCACAGCGCCACTTCTGGCTTTTTTCTTTTTACTTATGTGGTGCTGAGGAATCGAACCCAGGGCCTCATGCATGCAAGGCAAGCGCTCTACCACTGAGCCACCTTCCCAGCCCCTCCTGTGAATTTTTCAAGGGAGATCTTTATAAGAAAACAAATTTGGCTGGGCACTGGTGGCTTGTGCTATAATTCTATCTATTCAGGCTGAAACCTGAATATCAAGGTTCAGCGCCAGCCTGGCAGAAAAGTCTATGAAACTCTAACCAGTGTAAAGGGTGGGCTGGAGGCATGGCTCAGATAGTAAAGCATCAGCTATGAGCAAAGAAAGCTGAAAGAGAACTCCAGGCCCTGAGTTTAAGTCCCTATACCATTAAAAAAAAGAAAGGAAGGAAGGAAAGAAGGAAGGAAGGAAGGGAGAACAAGCAAACTTGTTTTTATTAGGGCTGAATGCATTTTTGTGTTCAAATGCATATATCAAATTTATCATCTCCATTTTTAAATATACTGCTCAGTGGCCTGAAGCACATTGTGTTTTTGTGCATCTGTCACCACCATCCATGTCCAGAATTGTTCCTGTTTTAAATGCCTTTGGGGGTAGGAAAGTGGCTCAATGGTAGAGTACTTGCCTCGCATGCATGAGGTCCTAGGTTCGATTCCTCAGTACCACATAAGCAGAAAAAGCCAGAAGTGGCTCTGTGGCTCAAATAGTAGAGTGCTAGCCTTGCTTGAGCTGAAGAGCTGAGGGACAGCACCCAGGCTCAGAGTTAAAGGTCCATAACTGACAAAATAAGTAAATAAATGCCTTTAATGTACATTGTTCGTTGTAAATCCTAGGAGGTTAGTAGGTATAATTGGCATTTTATTAAGGTTATTTTTAGTTATTAATGTATCTTTCTTTTAAAAAATCTGTTATCTATCTTTGGCAGAACTGGGGTTTGAACTTAGAGCATTGTACTTGCTAGGCAGGTGTTCTACTATTTGAGCCATGATACAAGCCCTTTTTTTGCTTTAGCTAACTTCAGACCACAGTCCTACCAAGGCCTTCATAGCTAGTATGAAAATCATGTGCTAACTGTACCAGGCTTGCTACCTGTCTCACAATGTTTCTCTTGCCTCTCTTGGCTGAGAACCGGCAATGTCCAGGAGTGTGTTCTTTGCTTGTCTATGATTTTTCGGGAGATTTCCTTTATATCAATCTTACCAACTGAATCATAGACTGGAAAAAGGAAAGGGAGAGGATTTCCAACCCCGTGTGTGTGTGTGTGTGTGTGTGTGTGTGTGTGTGTGTGTGTGTGTGTGTGTGTGTGTGTGTGTGTGTGTGTGTGTGTGTGTGTGTGTGTGTGTGTGTGTGTGTGTGTGTGTGTGTGTGTGTGTGTGTGTGTGTGTGTGTGTGTGTGTGTGTGTGTTTTACTGGGATTTAAACTCAGGGCCTCTAGGCAGATGATCTACCACCTGAGCCTGATCCCCAGCCTAGGTTTTGCTTTAGTTACTTTTCAGATAGTGTCTCATCTTCCTACCTAGGCCAGCCTTGACCATAATCCTCCTATTTATACCTCCTGCAGAGCTGGGATTACAGGTACCACCCTGTCTAGCATTTTACTTGAGGTGGGAATCTCAACTTTTTGCCCTGCTTGGCTTTGAACCACAATCCTCCTGATCTCTGTCTCTCAAACAGCTGGGATTACAGGAGTGAGTCCTCATTCCTGGCTAGCCCAACCTTTTGCAGGTGAAGATCCTGAGGCTCAGGGACACGACTCTCTAGCAGAGGTAGATCTTTCTTCAAGGCTATGTAAACCCAAGATCTTCTGGTCCCCTGGCCCTGTGCTCATTCTTTCTACCAGAAAATCTCCACACTGTTTACTGATCTTCCCTTTCAAACCTGTACCACAGGCTTGACTTGCTTTGCCTCAACTTGACTTCCTGAGTATATGTTAGAGAGAACATGCTTAGAGGCCTAGAAGTCTCTCCTTACCGTGTGACCTTCTCACCTATGGGAGCTCAGTCCTTTCTTCTAGTGCACTTAGGGTCAAGAGTCAACATCCCTTTGCTGTCTCAAGGAGAAAAACAGTTGACATTGAAGGACTGCATTCTCAGAGAAAAGGGGTCAGATTGCAGCATAAATCAGCCAGCATGTTGCCCCTCAGAATCCCAGATGATGCTTCTTACAAACACAGGGAGAGGCCACAGCCCGGGAGTCTTCAGCTGAAACAGCAAACCCTTGCCTTGCTCTTGGCTACAGCAAATCAGTGAACAAATGCTATGCCTGTCATCAAAGCAGGCGTTTGACTCATTGACATAGCTGCAGAGCACTCTCCCATAAGCCAGGACGTGAGGACGCTGGCATCACAAACAGCTTCACTGCACCATGCACAGCCCAGCCCCCAGCCCTGCTCACCCCTCATGTGGCGGTCTTCTGACCTTGGGCAACAGGACCAGGCTCAGCCCTCACTGTTGAGGTTGACGCTGAGGCCCAGGTTTGTTGCTGCTAATTGACTGAAGGAGTTTGTGAAAAGCCATTGCTCAGCCATGTGCCTTGTCTCCTGGCCCCTGGTACCAAGCCCTTCTGCAGGTAACCAGTGTGCTCAGTGGAGGGACAGGAGGCACCCTGATGTTTGAGTGGAGGAGCTGTGTTGGTGGTGATATCGGGGTGCTGGGGGGAACTGCCTGCTGCTCCTGACTCTGTGTCGCTTTGCAGGGGGACCAGACGGCCTTGCACCGGGCCACAGTGGTGGGGAACACGGAGATCATCGCAGCCCTGGTGCAGGAAGGCTGTGCCCTGGACAGACAAGACAAGGTGAAACGGGACATATCGGCTGCTTGCTCCCTAGATCGAGAATTGGGGGGCCATAGGGGGCTCGGGGCACCCTTTTGGCTACTTTGGGGTACCCAAGATGCTATTCCTGTCTTACCTCTCACAAATCATGATGAAATCAGCCCAACTTTCTCTGAAACCAGTTGAGGAGAGCCAAATTGACTGTGATGAGAAGATTCACACCTTAAGTAATGTGCTTTCTTTTTTCTTTTTTTCCTCAAACACAGTATGTGATGCGTTCACTCACTGGCTATTGCTCCACTACCTGAGCTATGCCCCCAGCCCCAAGTAATGTGCTTGCTACCCTGTGTGTTTCTTAGGATGGGAATACAGCCCTGCATGAAGCCTCCTGGCATGGGTTCAGCCAGTCAGCCAAACTACTTGTTAAAGCTGGAGCCAATGTACTTGCCAGGAACAAGGTGAGTCTGGGCGGGTGCTAGAAGTGATCCCTTCCTGGGTGAGGATATCTGTGGGTCTCTCCACCTGTCTCTGTCTCTCAGTCAGCAGAGCAAGGGCTAGCGGGATGAGTGGAGCCTAGGAGGGCCTGTCCACCCACAAGGTCATTGGCAGAGGAGAGCAGAAGCAGATCATGGTCTAGGCCAGGATCTTGCTCAGCAACAGTGTAGACACTCCTGCCAGAAACCTACATCAAATTACTGTTTCCACTGGGTGCCAGTGGCTCATGCCTGAAATCCTAGCTACTCAGGAGACTGAGATCCGAGGATCATGGTTTGAAGCCAGCCTGGGTAGGAAAGTCCACGAGACTTTTATCTCCAATTAACTACGCCCAAAACTGGAAGTGGAGCTGTGGCTCAAGTAGTAGAGTACTAGCTTTGAACAGAAAAAAAAAAACAAAAACTAAGAGATAGCATCCAGGTCCTGAGTTCAAATCCCAGGACTGGCACACACAAAAATTATTGTCTGCGTCCTCTGACACTATTGGGAGAGTATAGGAGCAAAGAAAACCTACCAGCAAAGAACTTTATATCACCAATGGTAACAAGAGTGTGGTAGGCGGCTTCCGCAGAAGCAGCTGGGCTAAGCAGTAGGATGGGAACAAGCACCAGGCCAGCAAGCTGGCAAAACAAACAAACAAAAAAACAAACAAACACCTTAAAAATGGTTCTGCTGGGCTTGGTGTCAGTGTTGGCCTCACCCCTGTAAACCTGCTATTTGTTTCTGGCACCCCCCTTCCCCAGGTAAATAGGTCTAGGTTTGCATCCAGTAGCTGTCCTCCTAGGACAGAAAAGGAAAGGAAAGAGAAAAAGGCTGGGGATGAAGCTCAGTGGTAGAGCACTGTATGGCATGCGTGAAGCCCCGTGTTCAATCCCCAGCACCACACATACAAAGAGCAGTAAAATATGCTGGTAAAAAATTTACCTGCATGGAAGTGGCTCTGTGGCTCAAGCGGTAGAGTGCTAGCCTTGAGCTGAAGCGCTGAGGGACAGCACCTAAGCCCAGAGTTCAAGCCCCATGACCGACAAAAAAAAAAAAAATTACCTGCAAGCTAGGCACCGGCAACTCACTCCTGTAATCCTAGCTACTCAGGAGGGTGAGCTATGAGGATTGTAGTTTGAGCCAAGCCTAGACAAGCAAAAAAAAAAGAATCTGTGAAACACATTTTTTGGGGGTGGAGGTGGGGGCCAGTCATGGGGCTTGAACTCTTTGCCTGGGCACTGCCCCTGACCTTTTACCTTTTCAGCTCAAGGCAAGCACTGTACCGCTTGAGTCCAATGCCACTTCCGGTTTTCTGGTAGTTAATTTGAGATTAGAGTCTCATGGACGTTCCTGTCCAGGCTGGCTTTGAACTGTGTTCCTCAGATCTCAGCCTCCTAAGTAGCTAAGATTACGGGTGTGAGCCACCGGCACCTGGCGCCTGTGAAAGTCTTCTCTCCAATTTACCACCAAGAAGCCAGGAGTGGCGCTGTGGCTCAAGTGGTAGAGCACTAGCCTTCAGTGAAAAAGCTGAGGATCAACACCCAGGCCCAGAGTTCAAGATTCAGTATAAGCACCCATGCACACACATGCACATGCGCACACACACGCGCGTGCATGCACACACACACACACACACGGATGTTTATGACAACAATAAGCTATAAAACATATGAAGAGGAACTTAAAATTGTTATATGAGCATATCATAAACACAATATCAATAGAATAATAATTTTGAAGAGAACTCTCTTGAGTTGCAAAATAACAGTTCAGAGCAGTACAATTTCATAGTTACCTGTCAAAATGCTTAATATAGAATTGTATTTATTTTAAATAAGCCTGGAAGTATGTCAGCAAAATATTGATAAGTGTTTATGAAAATTGAGGCTGATTGATTTTTCGTTTTGTTTCTACTTTTTGCCTTTGCCAAAGTTCCCAAACTGAACTGGTTATTTCTTTCACAAGCAGGAGAAGCATTTTATTTTGAAAATAAAAAAGCATTAGTCAAGTACAGGGGCTTACTCCTGTAATCCTACCTACTCAGGAATCTGAGATCTAAGGATCACAGTTCAGAGCAAAAAAAAAAAACAACAAAAACAAGTCTGTGAGATTCTTTATTTCCAATTAATCAGCAAAATGCCAGAAGTGGAGCTTTGGCTCAGTGGTAGAGCACCAGCTTTGAGCCAAAAGGCCAAGCGAGAGCACAAGGCCTTAAATTCACATACTCACACACACAAGCATGAGTACTTTTGGGATTGGGAACTAGTAGAGAGTAGTGGCAAGGGTTTGAAAGAGACTGAGAATTTCCCACAGTGCACTTGCATGGGTAGCATTGTGGGATGGTGGCCTCCGCTAGTTGTGATGGTGTGTTGAAGCTGATATGCTAGAATGGGGGTGGCAGCATCATGGGGACTGTGAACAGCATTTGGTAATTTCCCCTAAAACACAGTCTGTGGACAGTTTCACATCACAGTAGGGGTTGACAGTGACTATCTCTAGCCTTTAGACACTCATTTCTATGGCAGATCTTCAATAGTAAAGTCAGGAGCCAGATGTAATGTTAAGGAGCCTGTCAGAAAGAGTGTACACCAATGCCAGAAAGACTTTGGGGCCTCACCTGCTGCCCACAAAAGCAGAACAGAATCTTCATAAAGAAGGACGTGCCTCAGTGATTCTCTTTTATTCCCTTGGTTTATTAGAGTGTGGGGAAGCAAGCCAGCCTTGTTCTCATAGCAACAGGGACAGAATAGTGGTCCTTCTTTTGGTTATCTCTTTTACTCTCATCTATCTCTCTTCCCTCTCCCACCATGTTTTGTGTCTCGGGTCATTTTCTTCACATCTCCCCTTTAGAATAGTCCTTCCCCGCCCTGCCTGCAGCCCGCTACACCCAGATTAGAGTTGCTGTTTACTGGTCATGTGTTCCTCAAGGTTCCTTCATAGAAGGAAAGGAGTGGCTATTCAAGGTACCATCACCAATGATGTCAGGCTCATCGCTTGTCAGGCTGGTGGCTGCTCAGTACCTCTAGATGGTACATGATCAGAAACATGAATTGGTGAATATCACTTCCTTTTTTTGTTCTTGGTGGTGGTACTGGGGTTTGAATTCAGAGCTTTGTGCTTGTTAGATAGGTACTATACAGCTGAGCTATACCTTCAGCCCTGTATTTTGCTGGTTATTTTTTTTTTAGTCATATCACTTTGATTGGGATTAGAAAGATACATAGATAATAGGTAAGAGGAACATAAAAATAGGGAACATGTTAGGGAATTTTTTGAATACATCCTAGAGTGCAATAGGTTCTTCCTTTTGTGTTTGGTGCACACATGCAAGTAAAAGACTTGTAGATCTCTGACAGATAAAGAGAATGAGTAGTTGTGGGCAAAATCCCACACACATGCATGCATTCAAGTAGAAAAAAACAAGCATACCTAATACATGCATGCACACAAACAAAAAAAAGCAAGCACACAAAGCACATGCATACACACGGAGAAACATGAGCCAGTCATTTTTGAGAAAGGGTCTTGCTTCTCACCCGAACATGTTTCAGGCATGTTTCCACCTGTTCCAGGTTTCCTGTGGTGGTTAGCATGATAAGCATGTGCTGTCACATCCAACCTTGGTCATGTTTTTTTTTCCTGTCAGATTTTTGAGAAAGCATTTCCATGCATACAATTTACCATTTTATGCAAGAAAGCATATCATACTGTGACTTTGGGCCATTGTGTACTGCTGCATAATCACTACCACAGATAGAGAATGCTTCCACCTCCTAAAAATAAGTTCCTTTGCACACTTTGTTGGCAACCCTACAATCACATCCCCTCCTAGACCCAGGATTTGAAGGTTAATGATAGCTGGAACTCCTGCACCTGTTCAGATTCCACATTCAATATCCTTGGCTCCAAACCCCCCTGCTCGATGCTCTCCCCACCCCCAAGAGGCAGAATGTGAGTGCCCCCCCCCCAGTAAGTACCACCCCACTGCAAGGTGTGTAAGTCTGTGCAGAAGTGTGCTGCTAACGTGTCTCCCCCTCTGTCTGCCTCTCTCCAAGGCAGGGAACACAGCCCTGCACCTGGCCTGCCAGAACAGCCACTCTCAGAGCACGCGTGTCCTCCTGCTGGGTGGTTCCCGCGCTGACCTCAAAAATAACGTGGGTGAACACAGCTTCTCCAACTTCTCTCAAGTCAGCTTGGAAGATAACCCCTGCAGTGTACTTTCCTAAGAACATCTAGAAATTAAGATGTCAGAAGTATTTGGGGCCTATCTCTAAATTATGCACGTGTTATGGGATTTTTTTGCTAATTTTCTAAGGAGTCATTTAGAAGATGAGGAGAAGAATTCGAAAGGATTGGAAATATTATCGCCATTTTTCTTCTAGCATATGACTGTCTAGAATAGTCTAGGGAATCTGTGAATGTCTTAGGCTCTGCCCACATGGATGCATATGGTCCCATCTATGTGGCATATATTCCCATGTGGGACTCTCATAAAGGTAATGGTGCCACACCGAGCAGGGAGGTCCTGCAAGGCTCCACAGCCAGCATCTTCAAATGGCAAGTCAGCTGGTGACCGAGGTGTCCTTGCACTGAGCTGAGAATGCCTGCCTTGAACACGACCTTGAATACAGCCTCCCTCCGCAGAGGCTTTTTCCAGTTTAAATCCCATGCTTTAGGCACATTGACTGGAAAATGACTAGCTTCTCCAGAAGATCATGGAAATTTCCTTGTTTGGAGCAGTTTTATCAAATTCATTGTAAGGCTAGACACTGGTAGCTCATGCCTATAATCCTACCTATTCAGGAGGCTGAGATCTGAGGTGTGTGGTCTGAAGCCAGCTCAAGCAAGAAAGTCCATGAGACTCTTATCTACAATTAACCACCAAAAAGCTGGCAAGTATAGAGCTATGGCTCAAATGGTAGAGCACCAGCCTTCAGCAAAAAAAAGTTCAAGGACAGCACCCAGACCCTGAGTTCAAGCCCCAATACTGGCACAACAAATTAAAAAGGAATATACAGTAGTTTAGCAGCTTCTAAATGATTTTCTTTTCAGTTATGTCTTGTGACTGCTGACCGTGCTTTCTGTCCACAGGCAGGCGACACCTGTTTGCACGTTGCTGCGCGCTATAATCACTTGCCCATCATTCGGCTCCTCCTCAGTGCTTTCTGTTCTGTCCATGAAAAGAACCAGGTCAGTGCAGGTGTCTTTGCCATCCCCACGCTCCAGGTGTGGATAGCAGCTGCATTGTGTCCCACTGGGCTGCAGTGTCCCTGCCTTCTCTGGGTCATTCCCATGCACATCTTTGCATGTGAATTTTGCACTGTTTCTTGGAGATCCTAAGGGCAAGTTTTGTTAATAATGTGATTTTTTTTTTTAATAAGGAAATCCACAGGGAGGAGTGTGGCTTTGTAAAGAAGCCAGGCAATTGGGAGTCTCTGGACTTCCTGTGTTATGTTCTCTGGGGTGCTCATAGTTCAAGAACCAATTTGTGTTTCCAGCAGCTGGAGGCTCTCATTTCTGAGAAATTGGAGTCATAATCTGTGTCTGCTATTGAAATGAGGCTGAGATGAAATACAATCAACCATGGAAATGTGCATGCTTGCCAGTAGTCATTTGGATAAAAGAAAGCAATTGCTAGGGTTTTATTGATACCTAAATGATGCGTTGATTGCTTTTTCTGACTTTGAGTGTGTAACTCTGAAATTAAAAAAGATTGTGGTTTATATAAAATATACCTTATAAGCCTCTGTTTATGACATTACTAACAAATATATACATATATACACATGCATATATATGTATATATATACATAAAAATCTTACAAGAATAATTGGGGGGTTCCTTATACTTGCTTGGTTTGCTTACTAGATTGGTATGCTCCCACTTGAGCTGTGCCTCCAGTTACGCTTTTTTTTTTTGGTCGGTCGTGGGGCTTGAACTCTAGGCCTGGGCGCTGTCCCTGCACTCTTCAGCTCAAGGCACGCTCTACTGCTTGAGCCATAGTGCCACTTCTGGTTTTTGAGTGGTTTATTGGAGATAAGAGTCTCACGGACTTTCCTGCCCAGGCTGACTTTGAATCGAGATCTTCAGATCTCAGCTTCCTGAGTAGCTAGGATTACAGGCATGAGCCACCATCACAGCTCAGTTATGCTTTCTACTAGTCATTTACAAATGGAGCCTAGCAAACTTTTTTGTCCAGGCTAGCTTTAAACCACAAGTCCTTCAGATCTCAGCCTCCTGAGTAGCTAAAATTATAGGTGTAAGCCACTAGTGCCAGATTTAGAGCAGTGAATTTTGACCCTGAATGCATATAAAAATCAACAGGGGAATAAAAAAATTCCTGTATCTCATCCCAGTGCAAAAGAGCCAGACTTTGGGCTTATGGTTTAAGCAATCGTGTTTTCTAAAAGCTCCTTGTCTGATGTGCAGCCATGATGAAAATCACTGACAAAATAGCCAAGTATGGTTGAGTGTAGTGGCTCAAGATTATTTCTAGCTGCTTGGGAGGCAGTAATCAGAGGACCAAGGTTCCAAGCCAGGCTGGCAAAGAAAGCTCAGAAGATATAGTCTTGATCAATGGCTGGGCACAGTGGTGCTGGACTATAATCCCATTGACAAAGGGAGGCACAGATAGGAAGATTGGGGTCCAAGCCAGCCTGGGCATAAAGTGAGATCCTATCTTGAAAATAACAAACACAGAAAGGGATTAGCAGAGAGGCTGAAGTGGCAGAGTACCAGTTTAGCAAGCATTGTGGCCTGAGTTCAAATCCCATTACTGTCAGAAAAGAAAGAAAGTAAAACAGTCTCCCCAGTGATTCCAGCTCACCTTGCTCTACCCCCATACCTCCCCACCTCATGCTTCTCAGCCATGGCAGCAGCTGACAGTCATAGTCACCCAGGAGCAAATCCCCGTGCCCTGCTGGGCACCAGGGGCTCACACTTGTTAATTCTAACTACTCAGTAGGCTGAGACCTGGAAGATTGCATTTCAAAGACAGCCTAGGCAAAACACTCCAAGATACTCCATCTCCAATTAACTAGCAAAAAGCTGGGCTGGAGGTCTGGCTCAAAGTGGTAGAACACTAGCCACACATGAGGCAAGCTGAATGAGTGTGAGGTCCCTGAGTTCAACTGCTGAAAAATAATTTTTTTTTTTTTTGGTCCAGTCATGGGGCCTGAACTCTGGGCCTGAGTGCTGTCCCTCAGCTCTTCAGCTCAAGGCTAGTGCCCTACCACTTGAGCCACAGCGCCACTTCCGGCTTTTTTCTTTTTGCTTATGTGGTGCTGAGGAATCGAACCCAGGGCCTCAGGCATGCAAGGTAAGCGCTCTACCACTGAGCCAACTTCCCAGCCCTGAAAAATAATTTTTTTTAATCCCCAGGCTAACCCACACAGCATATCAATGGAATCAGGGGGAAGGACCTTGGCCTCTATTTTTTTTTTAAGCTGCCCAATGTTTTCTACTATGCAGCCAAGACTGGAAAGACTTCCGTAGAGCTTTCTTCTATTACAGAACTACATGCCTCTGCGATGACAAAAACAGTTTTACTTCTACTCTTTATCAAGTAGCAAGACTTTTTGCCTGGTCACCTGGCACCACACCAACTGGATTATTTCTCTTCTTCTGTATTTGTTTGGTTTTATTTACATAATTTTTGCTTGGGAAACAATAGCATTTATTTCAGAATTGGCCTAGTAATCTGAAATGTGTGCGCCCTTCTTTTAGAGGTGATGGAAAACACTTTTTATATAATGACAATTTACTTATGGGCTATATGGTAAGAGACAACTAACAACTGGTTACGTGAACACTGATTCTTCATGTCTTCATCAAAAGGTCCCAGAGCCTACAGATGTCCCAGCGGCCCCTTTTGGTCCACATGGGTAGCTAGGGTTGGGCTGTTACCTTTTGGTGCTGAAGAAGTATTCTTTGCAGCATCTGCTCAATCTTGCTCTCAGAACCCGTATGATTCTCTGACCTCTGGTCTCACTGGTCAGAGACACAGGGGCTAGACTCCATCATCCTGCCTCTTCATACTCTGAGCCCCACCATTCTCAGCAACCCAGCCCAGTACTCTTTGCCCTTGATTTATTCCCATTTTGTGACTTTCAGACCTCCAGCTAGAAAGGAACATGACCCATCCAGTTCTGTGATTTCAAGACCTTTTTGTCTGGTTTAGGAAAATCATGGTTTTGGAGGGCCTATACTAGGGGATGAAAAGCAGAAGCAGAGGGCTTGGGCCAGATGGGTTTTGATGTTTTTCTGATTGGTTTCAGGCTGGAGACACAGCCCTGCATGTTGCTGCTGCCCTAAATCACAAGAAGGTAGTGAAAATCTTACTGGAAGCTGGAGCAGATGGAACCATTGTGAACAATGTAAGTTGAGATGGGGTGTGTTGAGACCACCTAATCCGACTCTCTGGATCCAACAAACTCCACTGTAGCCTCAGCCTTTGAGGCCCTCAGGGTGGACGTGGGGGAATCCTAGCTCTGAGGGCCCCTTTTAGACAGCTGAAAAAGGAGGCTCAAGGATGTGTAGGTAAGATGGATGATACCAAAAGTGAGTTCCAAGATGGGCCCTGGTGGCTCACATCTGTTAATCCTAGGTACTCAGGTGATTGAGATCTGAGCACTGTGGTTTGAAGCCAGCCTAAGCAGGAAAGTCCATGAGGCTCTGATCTTCAATTAACCACCAAAAAGCTTGAAGTGGGATGTGGCTCATGTGGTAGAGTGCCAGAATGAAAAGTTAAGGGAGAGCACCTAGGCCCTGAGTTCAAGACCTAGCACGCACACACACACACACACACACACACACACACACACACACACACACACACACACTGAGTTCAAGACCTAGCACACACACACACACACACACACACAGACACACACACACACACACACACAGACACACACACACACACACACACTGAGTTCAAGACCTAGCACGCACACACACACACACACACAAACACACACACACACAGAGCAGGCACAGCCCAGGTATCTTTGCTACTGGAGGCTGACCTTCAGTAAGAGCGATTGTAGAATTTGGAGCTGGCGAAAGCTGGCCAAAGGCTCTTAATCTTCCAGGACTCTAAGTCTAGCTCCCTTTCCTCCTCCTGCCTTGTGATGGATTTCTCTAGAACCTGCCCTGGATGGCTAGAACACCGTCCCCTTCCTTCTGAACCCCACTCTCATCCATTCCTGGTTTTTGCCCTCATCTTCCAAGAGTCTATACTATGGCCATAGCCCTGCCTCACGACTGTTCTTCATAATATAGTTCTTAGACTCTGGCTGGGCCTGACCTGCCCTCCGGGTGTTCTTCCCTAGGGAAAACTCATTGCTTGGGAGCATTGTATGATTCTTTTTTTTTTTCTTCTTTTTCTTTTTGGTTGGTCATGGGGCTTGAACTCTGGGCCTGGGTGCTGTCTCTGAGCTCTTCAGCTCAAGACTAGAGCTCTTCCACTTGAGCCACAGCACCACTTCTGGTTTTCTGGTGGTTAATTGGAGATAAGAGTCTCACAGACTGGCTTTGAACCAGGCTGGCTTTGAACCACAATCCTCAGATCTCAGCCTCCTGATTAGGATTACAGGCATGAGCCCCCAGTGCCCAGTCTGTATGATTCTTTGGATGTCTCTACAACAGAAATATACTTCCTTAACTCTTCTCAGTTTGCACAAAGCATTCCTTGGTGGGCAGTGCCCCACAGCTTTGTGTAAGGGCAAAGCCCTCATTGCTCTGTAGCTGGGAAGTATCCATCAGGCATGCTCTGGGTGCCTGATTCTCTTAGTGCTGGGGCTGGGCTGAGGAGCAGGGCCATCTTGTGTGGCCTTGTGTGGCTGAGCACACTGGGTCACTGCAGTGTGGAACTGCCCACTTTTGGGGTCTCTTCCTCACCTGTCCTCCCCTGTGCCTTTCCCCAGGCAGGCCAGACCCCACTGGAGACCGCCCGCTACCACAACAATCCAGAAGTTGCTCTGCTCCTCACAAAAGCTCCCCAGGTAGGATTTCCTGCTTTTGCATTGTCAGATGACACAGGGTGCAGTCACCCGGAGGCCCTCATTGGCATCTAGTGAAAGCAACTGAAGCTCAGTAGGAAATTGATGGGCCTACCAGCTGGGCAGGTGGACACAGGCATGCACGTGGGTCTCCTGGAAGAGACTTCAAGTCCTGCTTTTTAGACATGGTGTAATTTTCTCCTTTGGCCAGAATAGTCACCACCAGCTTCCTGGACCCTAACTTCCCAGCTCCACAGCCGGGGAGGTGCAGCATTGTAGGAGAGGTGGGGCAAATTCCCTCCCTGAACAAGCGTGATGCAAGAGGGAGGAATCCGCTCAGAGGAAGATGAGGGAACGGACCATCCTAGAGAGCCACCAGAAGCAGGGCCGTTCAGGAGGGTTTCTTTCCTTTTCTAATCAAATCATGGTATTTTGACCCTTATTCATAAATAATGCCAAATGTCATTTGAATAGAGGTTGACATCTAAGTATCAATAAAGACACATAAGGATGCTTAAGCTACTTATAATTCCAACACCCTGAAGTATCTGCCTTTGTTGGCTCATTTTACCTTCCACAGACATATTTTCCTTCCGTAATTGGGCCTATGTTGTACAAACCCCATTGTATCCTTCCTTTGATCTAACTGTAATAGGGCAATTTCTGTGGTCTCTATGCACATTCAGTATAATGAAATCATATTCCTTCTTGTTAATGTCAGTATTAAACCATTTCATTAATATTGGCAGAAGTGGAGCTATGGCTCAAGTATTAGCATTCTAGCTTTGAGCAAAAAATCTCAGCACAGGGGCTGGGAAGGTGGCTCAGTGGTAGAGTGCTTGCCTTGCATGAAGCCCTGGGTTCAATTAGTCGACAACACAGAAGCAGAAAAAGCCAGGTGGTGCTGTGGCTCAAATGGTAAAGCACAAGCCTTGAGCTGAAGAGCTGAGAGACAGGGCTCAGGCCCAGAGTTCAGGCCCCACAACTGAATTTAAAAAAAAATCTCAGCACAGTGCTCAGGTCCTGAGTTCAAGCCCCAAGACTATAAATATATCCATATTTATCAATGTTTGACATTTAGATTATTTCCAGTTTGGAGCTATTCTGTTATATGACATCATGTCATTGATTGGCTTGCCCAACACACACTCCCTTGAGCCATACCTCCAGCTCAGCTTTTTTGCTGGTTAATTGGAGATGAAGTCTCATGGACTTTTCTGCTCATGCTGGCTTCATTCTACAATTATCCAGACCTCAGCATCCTTAGCAGTTAGCATTACAAGTGTGAGCTACCAGCTCTCACTCTAGGTTTTTGCAAAGAATGATCCACAGAATCACATCTATGAATCCTGATTTTTAAAAAAGTGCTGGTCTCTCCTGGGTCTAAAGTATAGGGTGTGGCTGAGCAATATGCTCACATCTGTAATCCCAGCTACTTAGAAAACAGAGATCGAGAGGATCCTGGTTTGAGGTCAACCTGGGCAAAAAGTTTGTCAGATCCAATCTTATCCAATAGCTAGGTACAGTGGTGGTTATCTGTCAGCTATGAATGTTTGAGCCTAGGAGGATTGTGGTTTAAAGCCAGCCCAAGGGGGAAAAAAAAAAATGTTAAGAACCCATGTTAACAGAAATAGATGGGTATATTGGTACAAGCTTGTCATCCTAGCTATAGTGGGAAATGTAAAACAAGAGGATCAAAGGCCAGGTCAGCCCTTGTAAAAGTGAGACCCTATGTCAAAAATAACCAAGCAAAAAATGCTAGAAATATGTTTGAAGTGGTAGCACGAGGTTCAAATCTCACTACTGACTTTTTTTTTTGAAGTACGGGATGCTCTGTACATGTCAGAATCCATCACATTTATCTGTTGTTTTCAGCTTTTGGCCTCTTGATGGACAGCCAGTTTCCCCCTTAGCCAACTCCCCAGGCACGGGAAGACTGATAATGTCCTTAATCCATCTGTCATTGTTCTTCCCTATCCCAAGGATCACCACTTACAGAGAAAAGCTTTCCCAAATGACTGGGTGGAGGGAGTGGTGTAAGTGGTAGAGTGACTGCCTATCCAGACCAGAGCCCTGAGTCCAAATCCTAGTTCTACAAAAATAAGAATCCTTCGGATGTGACTTAAGTTTTGTTTATACTCATGCTGAATGAATTGCAGGTGACATATTAGAGTTTATTTCTCACAATTGTACATGTAACCCTTCTCCTCAGCACAAAGAAACTTTAGACCACGCATGCTATTTTATGCACTTGGTTCTGTTATCTGTAGTTACAGCCTTACTGGTTTTATAAGCAAAGTGAAATCTCCTATTCTTTTATTCTGAGTGGAGGGGGCCTTGAATTCTGGGACTTATATACTTGCTTGGCTTTTTCTGCTTAAGGCTGGTGCTCTACCACTTGAGCAACACCTCCTAGCTTTTTGGTAGTTAATTGTAAATAGCAGTCTCTGATATTTGCCTGACCCATTTGGCTTCGAAACTCAATCCTCAGCTCTCAGCCTCCAGAGTAGCTTGAATTGCAGGCATGAGCCACCATTTAGATGAATGTGGATATTGATGGCCCACAGAGGTAGTAAGTGGGCACTCTTTTGTTCCGGGCCTCAAGATTAATTTTCTCTGGCTTCTATGTTCTGGAAAAGATGAATGACGCTCCATATGAGGAAGATGGTATGGTTCACTGGGAAAACTATAAGCCCAGGAAAAGTTTTTTGGCTGACTAATAGCATGGTTAAAGGGAGGGAATTTTGCTGGTGATTATTTTATGTTTGGATGACCTTGGAGTATTGCTTGTCATATGTGATTGATGAGACAACTTGATGTCACAAATGCTCTGAAAGAGAATCTCAGGCAGTTTCTGGTGCTGTGCCTGTTCTAAGAGTCCACTAACCAGGAGGACATTCAGGACAAGTCATTTGCTTTTCTCAGATGTGACTTCCCAGGGAGTTTGAAGAGAGCATTAGAAATGTCATAGTAGGGGGCTGGGAAGGTGTCTCAATGGTAGAGCACTTGCCTTGCATGCTTGAGGCCCTGGGTTCGATTCCTCAGCACCACATAAGCAAATAGAAAAAAGCCGGAAGTGGCGCTGTGGCTCAAGTGGTAGAGCGTTAGCCTTGAGCTGAAGAGCTGAGGGACAGCGCCCAGGCCCAGAGTTCAGGCCCCACGACTGGACCCAAAAAAAAAAAAAGAAATGTCATAGTAGGATTGAACCTAGGGCTTTGAGCAGTGACCCTATAGTCCCAAACTCCAGTCTGGTTCTCTTTTTAATCTAAGGACTCTTTTACATTCTTAATACTTTGGTCCATTGCTTGAAGTTTTCACTAATTCAAAGATTCATGTTCTGCTAAACATCCTCTTTCAATTAAGTGACTCCAAGGCAGCAGGTAGTGGGAAGTGACAGGGCAGGGCGGGCGTGGGTCCAATGTATGCCAGTCACCTACTGGATTATGGTTCAGCAGCCCCTCATCTTTACATTGGAGGAGATGGAGCACAGAAAGAGGCCAGAATCACTTGTCTGAAGGCCCTTTAGCCAGCTACTGCTCAGTTCCAACCTAGTCCGTGCCAGGACTAAATGCTTGAACCAGGGACTGGGCACACAACTCCATTTGGGAATATTTTTTTGTTGATTAGTTGGAGGAGATAAGAAAAAGTCTCATGGGCTTTCCTGCCCAGGCTGGCTTTGAACTGTGATCTTTAGATCTCAGCCTCCTCCTGTGTAGCTAGATGGATCTGCCTTACTCCCCTCTACCCCCATGTACTTTTTCTGTTTCCTTTCTACCTCTGCATGGTAAGGAACTGATTACATGCTTCCCTTTGGAAACTATAGTTAGTGCAATGGCTGCTGCTCCTCCTCCTCCGCCTCCTCCTCCTCCTCCTCCTCTGCCTCCTCCTCTTCTTCTTCCTCCTCCTCATCTTAGTGTTTAAGCTTTTTAGGGTCAGGGACACAATCCTCCCCATTTCTGTATCTCTGCTGTGCTCAGCCCAAGAGCCAGGAGGCACAGCAGGTGTAGAGTTGCATGTTTATGTGACTGCTTCATCCTTCGAGGTTGGTGCTGGGCTGAGGGAGCTTCTCCTCCCGTGCTGTGCACACCCTGGTCTGTAACCATGCTGTTTGCTTCCTTCAGGTCTTGCGTTTCAGTCGTGGGCGAAGCCTGAGGAAAAGGAGAGAGAGGCTCAAGGAAGAAAGGAGGGCTCAGTCGGTGCCGAGAGATGAGGTGGCACAGAGCAAGGTGTGGGGGGTCCTCCTACCTGGCCAGCACCTGTCTGCCACACCCCCTGCGTCCTCAGGGGCTCGCTGGTGGCTGCCAGGCCTCCTTGGCTCTCCTTCCCTCTGGGGCTCTTTCTCCTTTTGGCTTCATGTCTTCTGTTCCTCCAAGATTCCGTGTGTGTGTGTGTGTGTGTGTGTGTGTGTGTGTGTGTGTGTGTGTGTGTGTGTGTGTGTGTGTGTGTGTGTGTGTGTGTGTGTGTGTGTGTGTGTGTGTGTGTGTGTGTGTGTGTGTGTGTGTGTGTGTGTGTGTGTCTTCTGTTCCTCCAAGATTCCTTCCAGATCTCGTGTGTGTGTGGCGTATGAAGATGCACCATGCTCCAGTCCCATGTACCTATGGCTTTTGTCCCTCTGCATGGATGACATCAGACACTGTGCCTATAGCTACATACACACATTGCTCAAAAAGTGTGTTGCCGGGCGCCAGTGGCTCACTTCTGTAATCCTATCTACTCAGGAGGCTGAGATCGGAGGGTCACGGTTCAGAGCCAGCCTGGGCAGGAAAGTCTGTGAGACTTTTTTCTCCAGTAAACCACCAGAAAACTGGAAGTGGCACTGTCGCTCAAGTGGTAGAACGCTAGCCTTGAGCTGAAGAGCTGAGGGACAGCGCCCAGGCCCAGGGTTCAAACCCCACGACTAGCAAAAAAAATAAAGTGTGGTATTCCAGTGTCACCTGGGTCCTTGTTTGAAATGCAGATTCTTCGGCCTTATCTCAGACCCACAGTTAGAAACTCTAGGGTAAAGTCCAACAGTCTTGTTGGAACAAACCCTACAGGAGATCCTGATGACAGCCCTCAGCATAGCTTGTTTCCTCAGTTTCCCCTTAGAGAATGGATCTGGCCCATATGGTTCCTTTGTGCCAATCAGAAAAAGAAGTCTCTGAGGTAGGCTAGCCCTGCACAGGACATGGGGTGAATGGTGTCCCTTGCCCTTCCCCCCTCAGTGAGGGCCCTTGTGCAGTGAACAGCCTCTCAGCTGTCCTTGGCTGTCCTGAGAGTCTCTGAGGGAACAGTTAGGATACAGAAGCAACGCTTGGCACATAAAATATTATCACCAAGCACTGGCTCTTCTGTATGCCATTTCAGGATCTTCTCATCAATTTCCAAGGCTAAGGCATTGTCACTCTGATTGAGTTCCTACACACAAATTATATAAACTAAATTATAGAAATTCTCACAAGAGGGGCTGGGAAGGTGGCTCAGCGGTAAAGCGCTTGCCATGCATGCATGAGGCCCTGGGTTCGATTCCCCAGCACCACATAAGCAAAAAGAAAAAAGCCGGAAGTGGCGCTGTGGCTCAAGTGGTAGAGCGCTAGCCTTGAGCTGAAGAGCTGAGGGACAGCGCCCAGGTCCAGAGTTCAGGCCCCACGACTGGATCCCCCCCCCAAAAAAAAGAAATTCTCACAAGGAACAGAAATATATATTATATATATTATATATTTCACTTTTAATGGTTCTCATTCTCTGCCATAAGGTTCCCCAAATGAGTGGGACTATATTCAGTTGAAGTAGAAAAGACCCAAATCTCTAATGTTTTTTTTTTTGTGTAGGGTTCTAGAATAGACAAGATTTCATGAGGGATCTAACAAGATACAAGCCAAATATTAAGACCAACAGGCAATTCTAGTATCTGAAATTTACTGGCATAAAAATTTCCCCTTACCAAATGGAGTGTTACAAGCAGATAGCTTTGCCTTGCTGGTGGTAGGCCAGGTGAACAGGTTCTGGCTTTTATTCCCTGTAGGGAAGTGTGTCGGCCGGGGACACTCCCAGCAGTGAACAGGCTGCTCTCAGAAAAGAAGAAGCCAGGGAAGATTTCCTGTCCGCCTCTCCTGAACCCAGAGCAAAGGATAACCGGAGGAGAAAGTCCAGACCCAAGGTCAGGAGGCAGGTGACAGTGGCATTGTGGTGGCTGAGGAGGAGAGCTGTTGGGAGGTCTTGCTGCCCATCCTGCTAGCAGCTAAGGCATCATGTGACTGAAACACTGTTTCAGTGGTGGCTCTGGTGGGCGCTGGTGGCTCACACCTGTAATCCTAGCTACTCAGGAGGCTGAGATCTGAGGATCGTGGTTCAAAGCCAGCCCGGGCAGGAAAGTCTGTGAGACTCTTATCGCCAATTAATCACCAGAAAACTGGAAGTGGTGCTGTGACTCAAGTGGTAGAGCGCTCGCCTTGAGCTGAAAAGTTCAGGGACAGCACTCAGGCCCAGAGTTCAAGCCCCATGACCACCACCAACAACAATAAAAAAAAGGAATTAAATCTCACAGCCAGATGTGGTGTCTCATGTCTATAATCTAGCTATTCCAGAGACTGAGATCTAAGGAGCACAGTTCAAAGCCAGCCCAGGCAAGAAAGTCCAGGAGACTCTTACTTCCAATTAATCACTAAAAAGCCAGAAGTGGAGTGGTGGCTAAAGTGATAGAGCGCTAGCTTTGAGCACAAAAGCTCAGGCACAGTGCCTAAGCCCCGAGTTCAAGCCCCAGGACCGTCAAAAAAAAAAAAGAAAGAAAAAATTAAATCCCACTAAGTTTGGATGGGTGAGTGGACCTATGTGTTTCTTTGGACGTGTGTTGCTCTGAGTTGAACACCATGGGGCACAAGAAGATGGGCTTCTTGGCCAATAAGTGGGGATGATGGGAGCCACTGGCTGGAGTTATCCTGGCAAGGTCACAGGCTCAGAGATGTTGTCTCTTCCTCCCTTACAGGTGTCGGCCTTGTCTGACCCCACCCCAGCAGCTGACCAACAGCCTGGACCCCAGAGGAACTTTCATACCCATCATCACCCCAAAAAGAAGAGCAAGCATCGGGGTTCATCCCCACCACCACCTCATGAATTCAGAGCGTACCAGCTGTATACCCTGTATCGGGGAAAGGATGGGAAAGTGATGCAGGTACCCCAGGGCCTGCCGGAGATGGGCACGGGAGCCTCCGCAGGGAGGCTGTGGGGCTGTGGGGTCCCTTCACCCAAATGGTGTCCATCCACTCCCGCCACTTTGGCGTAACAAACCGACGGGAGCTTTCTGCACTATTCTTTGGTGACAAATCTCTGCGGGCCCCAGAGTGGAGAGATGGGCAGCTTGATACCAGGGACCAGGTCTTTCCTTCTCTATGTCCTCAGTGCCTACTAGAGCTGAGCCATGGAACATTCCAGAATCAGGACAGGGATGAGTCTATCTTCTCTATCAGCTGCAGCCCTGCTCCCCTTTGTGGAAGAATGAAAGGGGGCGGGGGGCTGACTTCTCTTCTGCGTTCATTCTAGGCACCAATTGATGGGTGTCGCTGTGAACCACTCATCAACAAGCTGGAGAATCAGTTGGAGGCAACTGTGGAGGAGATAAAAGCAGAACTGGCGGCGGTTCAAGACAAAATGAACACGAAGCTGGGGCAGATGGAGACGAAGACGCAGCACCAAGTAAGCAAATGGCATGGCCTCCTCGTTGCCAGTTGTTCTGGCAAAAAATGAAATCAGAAGTGTTAGGTCTGTGCTTGTAGCTCAACGGGAAAGCACTTCCTGGCATGCACAAAGCCCTAGGTTCCATCCCCAGCATCCAAAAAGCAAATAAAGAACATAGGCTTTTGCATGTGCTGTGTGCCCTGAGAAGGACCCCTGGTCTTGTTCATGGATACTTAGTTATAATTTTGTTGCTGGTGGTGTTGTTGTTTTCTTTTTCCAGTCCTTGGCTTGAACTGAGGGCCTGGGCACTGTCACTGAACTAGCACTCTACCACTTGAGCCACAGTACCACTTCCTGCTTTTTCTGTTTATGTGGTACTGAGGAATTGAACCCAGGACTTCATGCATACTAGACAAGCACTGTACCACTAAGAAGCCACCTTCCCAGTCCCTTAGTTATAATTTTGAAGAGCAACCTTGCTGGAGTGTGGTATACCATAATCCCACCACACAGGAGGCTGAAGCAGAAGGATCAAGAGTTTGAAGCCAGCCTGGTGCCAGTGGCTCACACCTGTAATCCTAGCTACTCAGGAGGCTGAGATCTGAGGATCATGGTTCAAAGCTAGCCCAGCAGGAAAGTCTATGAGACTCTTATCTCCAATAAACCACCAGAAAACCAGAAGTGGCACTGTGGCTCAAATGGTAGAGCACTAGGCTTGCGCTGAAGAGCTGAGGGACAGTGCCCAGGCCCAGAGTTCAAGCCCCACAACCAAAAAAAGTTTGATGCAGCCTGGTCTATATAGAAACACCTTATCTCAAAACAGAAGCTGGTGGTTGGGCTGGGAAGGTGGCTCAGTGGTAGAGTGTTTGCCTTGCAATGCATGAGGCCCTGGGTTCGATTCCTCAGCACCACATGAGAAAAAAAGCTGGAAGTGGCGCTGTGGCTCAAGTGGTAGAGCACTAGCCTTGAGCTAAAGAGCTGAGGGACAGTGCCCAGGCCCAGAGTTCAAGCCCCACAACCGGACCCCCCACACACAAAAAAAGAAGCTGGTGGTGGAGGGGGGTCAGAGGGGAGCTTAAACTGCTTTTGATTATACAGTGTTATAGTCCCATTTACAGAGCATATTTACAAAATAATTAGAAATTATAAAGTTAGCCAAGCACCAATGGCTCACGCCTGTAAACTGTCATTGCTGTTTAAAGACAGCCAGGGTAGGAAAAGTCTATGAGTCTCTGATCTCCAGTTAACCACCAAAAGTCTGGAAATGGATCTGTGGCTCAAATGCGCCAGCATTGAACACAGTGCCTGGGCCCTGAGATAAATCCCCCATATCAGTGTGTGCGCTGCGCGCGCGGCACACACACACACACACACACACACACACACACACACGCACGCACACGTGCACGCGCATGTGCATACACACACTCCCATCCATATGAGCTAGACTGTGCCCAGGGAAGGCCAAATGATTTGAATGGTAGGTATTCCAAGGGCCTCTTTAATATGAAGGAGGTGAAAGACTGGATTCTATACGGCAGGGACAGGCCCAGGGCCCGGGTGATTCAGGTTGCCTGCACCAGTCCACTGCGCCCTGTGAACCAGCTCCATGTATACATGGTTCTTCTTAGAGCTCTTCGCTTCTATAGGGTGAAGATGGGAACGGAGAGAGTAGGCCACACCTGCAAAACAGAGACTTCACAGACAAACCTGCAGACAGAAGGGGCAGATCAGCAAGTGCTCGCGTAGCTCCACAACTGATACTTCTTTGCATATTTCTGAACATCACTGTGTGGAATGCCATTTATATCACCAACAGGAGAGGAACTCGCCAGTGAGCCTTTTTGGCTGGATTCTGCTAACAATATTGATTTTTTTTTTCCCATTTGGACATTGTCAAAGCAGTAAAAATGTAGCCCAAGTTGGTGTTTAGGCCTTTAAAGAATATCAGAATGGAGAAAGGCCACAAAAGGGTACATGACTAAAAGGTGACTGTCACTTGTGCTCTAAAGCAATCCTTTAAATGCCTTCCACACCTGTCTACATAAGCTTTGACTCCTTTTATGAAGCAGTGAAAATACCCTCTCTCTGGGAAAGCTGGATGAAATGGAAGATTCAGCTTGTTATAATTGCACAGGTAGAATACAGTGAAGCAATCGCTCCTGTTTTTAGGTAGTCTTGAAACTCATGATCTAAAGCTTATAGTTCTTTTTTGGCCTACAAGATCTGCATTTGCTCAAGTGGCATGAATTGATTCAGTATTCACAAAACTTGGTTTATTTTCTTCTTGTTTTGCTGGTTCTGAGGATTGAACTCTGAGTCTGGGTGGTGTTCCTGACCTTTTTGTGCTCAAGGCTAGTGCTCTATCACTGAAGCCACAGCTTTTTTGTTTAGTGGAGATAAGAATCTCACAGACTTTCTTGCCTGGGCTGGCTTTGAATCTTGATCCTCAGATCTCCTAAATAGCTAGGATTACAGACATAGCCATTGGTGCCCAGCTATGAATGTATGTATGTATGTATGTATGTATGTATGTATGTGTGTATGTATGTACGTATTATGCCAATACTGTGGCTTGAGTTCAGGTCCTAGTTTCTGTGTCTTAGCTTTTTTGCTCAAGGCTAGCACTCTACCATTTAAAGCACATCTCCACTTCTGTTTTTTGTTTTTGTTTTTTGCTGGTTAGCTGGAGATAAGACTTGTGGATTTTCTCTTTCCTGGGCTGGCTTCAAACTGTGAGCCTCAGACCTCAGCCACCTGAGTAGGATTATAAGTGTGTGCCACCAGTGCCTATCAGAACTTGTATCTTTAAAAAATTTTTTTGGTCAGTTGTGGGTTTGAAGCTGGGGCCTCGGTGTTGTCTCAGAGATCTTTTTGATCAAGGTTAGCACTCTACTGCTTTGAGCCACAGCACCACTTTCAGTTTTCTGGTGGCTAATTGGAGATAAGAGTCTTACAGACTTTCCTGCCCAGGCTGGCGTTGAATCAGGATCCTCAGATCTCAGCCTCTTGAATAGCTAGGAGTACAGGTGAGAGCCTGTAGTCAGTGCCTGGCTTAGGGCTTGTATTTTTAAGACTTCAGATGCAGTAAAGAAAGAAAACTGGCCTTATGGAAATGTGCACAGGAATTCTGGAGAGCCCCAGGATCACCATATGAAAATAGAATAGAATGGGTTGTTGAAATTTACTTGCCTGCTTTGTAAACCCTGCTTGGCAGGCCTGAGCCCATCCATCTGTGGAGAGACAGGGCTCATCCTTACCTCAACCCAACCTGATGTTTTTAATCTCTCTCTGTTCTCTTGAATCTTAGATGCGTGTTTTGGACAAGCTGATGGTTGAGCGACTGTCAGCAGAGAGGACAGAGTGCCTGAATCGCCTGCAACAGCACTCTGATGCGGAGAAGCACGAGGGAGAGAAACGCCAGGTACAACTGGGTTCCACTAGCTCTTTACTACGGTTCATTGAATGGCCACTAAGTTAAAAGATTGACACCCAGCCCTGAAAACACAGATGCTGAGCTCCAGAAGAACACTTGCATTGCATAGTGAAATGCAGCCAGTAGCACAGTCTGTGGGGTCTGTTACTGAATATACTGGGGGAAGTCACACACGGCTGCCAGAGTCTCCTGTGTATAAGAAAAGCTTATGAACCATTGCAACGGTGTGGAAGCAGTCATGGTGGCTTGGCATCTCCCTGCAACAATAGCTATGGAATGACTCTTTGAGAGTGTACCAGTAGTTCAGGCCTTTAAGGAGCCTGGGTGCTGTGTCGGACAAATGTGGCTCTAATTCACTTAGTGAAGGTTATAGAGGGCTCTCGGTCTGGAGTGCTAAGTAAGCATGGCTGGTGGATGAAGAGTCATCTGTAATTTTTAGGTTTGTCAAAATGGTTATGTCAACTATCATAATTCACAAGTTCATTAAAAAATTGTTATTGCGGGGCTGGGGAGGTGGCTCAGTGGTAGAGTGCTTGCCTTGCATGCATGAGGCCCTGGGTTCGATTCCTCAGCACCACGTAAGCAGAAGAAGCTGGAAGAGGTGCTGTGGCTCCAGTGGTAGAGCGCTCGCCTTGAGCTGAAGAGATGAGGGACAGCGCCCAGGCCAGAATTCAGGCCCCATGACCAGCAAAAAAAAAAAAAAAAAGTTGTTATTGGTACAGAGGTTTGAACTCAGGCCTTATGCATGAGATATGCACCTGCTCCTTTTGCTTAGTTATTTTTCTGATAGGGTCCTGTACTTTTTTCTGGGGCCAGACTGAACCAGAGCTCTTTTATCTATGCCTACCATCTATGCCTACCTATGCCTTCTGCTTAGCTGGAATGGGAGACATACTCTACTAAGTACAGCTTAGATTGTTTGAAATGGGATCTTACCAACTTTTTGCCTGGGCTGGTGTCAAACTGTGATCCTCCTGATTTTCTTCTTCTGAGTAGTTGGGATTGCAGGTATGAGTCACCATGCTCAGCTCTAAAAGTTTATTCTTTATGTTTTAATTTATAAGCCACCTATCAAATTCACCTTTCTCTTTTGTATACTAATGATTTTTTTTGTAGATGTCCTTAGTGGATGAATTAAAAACCTGGTGCATGTTAAAGATTCAGAATCTGGAACTGAAGCTTTCTGGAGATTCTAGGACCTCCAGGGCTAAATCCACACCATCCACATGTGACTCCTCTACAGGTAACCAATACAGTCAGAACTCTTGTGTCCACAGGTAATGAAACCTCCCCGTCCCTAGATATGTTCTCTGCTGATCCAAAGGCAGTCCACAAGGTGGCACCATGGAAACACTGGGCAAGAACCATGGTTCACTTGCAGCTACATATTCAAATCCCATAAGGTGCCCTTGAACTTAGGCTCCTCTCCCCTAAGCCTCCTTAGTTAGTGTAACTATTCTTCATTTGCAAAATTGTATTTTGAGAGTCTGGAAATATGGCTCATAGTTAAGAGTGATTGCCTAGTATTCAAGGCCTTGGGTTCAATCCCTAGCACCATCAAAAATGAACTTAATAAAAACCAAGACATACTTGAAGGAAGGAATAAGAGAATTGTTGATTAGTATTAACAGTGCCTCAGGTGTAATATTGATGGGTGTTACATTGATCAAAACAAACTAAGCAACTCAATGGCAGTGGTGGGAGGGAGAGAATGGGTGGAAAGAGGGAACAGCTGACACTATGCAAAAAGAAAGGAAAGTACACCTCACCCGATGTGGAAGAAATTACTATTGTCAAAACTCAAACTTTATAGTCCATGATAGACAATTTGCCCCATGAAAGTTAGAATGTGTTTGTGAATTTAACTAAGTATCACTATCCCACAACATTGTAAAATTTGTGAAATTATGTAATCACTTAATCACAATAACGAATTTGCTACAAAAAAAAATATATATTGATGGGTGTGGAGCCAACCCCAAGGACAAGTGCTGATAAATGCCTGTCTATCTCCTCAGCAGGACACTCTCCCTCTTTGTGCTCTTTTCCCTTTCTCCTCTTTGATTGGCCTTCAGCCTTTGTCCAGTTATGCAAAGCCTCATTAAGTCTAGTTTAAGCACTGAGCTTGCACCACGTACTAAGATATATATCAAGGAGAGTACTTCATAAGCACCCTAGTGCTTTTTTTTTTTTTTTTTTGGTACGGTCGTGGGGCCTGAACTCTGGGCCTGGGCACTGTCCCTCAGCTCTTCAGCTCAAGGCTAGCACTCTCTACCACTTGAGCCTTTCTGGCTTTTTTCTTTTTGCTTATGTGGTGCTGAGGAATCGAATCCAGGGCCTCATGCATGCAAGGCAAGCGCTCTACCACTGAGCCACCTTCCCAGCCCACCCTAGTGATTTCACTGAGGATAATTCTGAGCATTCAGAGCCTGGCAGTCCTTACAGAGGGACGTGGCTATGCCAAATGTTTCGTGTAACCAGAGCCATGCCTGGAGCTATATTCTTTTATCTGTTGACACATTAGGAAATACCCTGAGCAAGTTTTTTCTTGGTGGGACTAGTCTTAGAGCTTTTTGTGGCCCTGTACTGGGAATTGTGGGAAATGGGAATAGAATCACTTTTCCAAATTGGAGTCCGGGTTAAGAAATTGGTACATTTGCTGGTCCAGCTAGTGGTTCCCACCTGCATGGAATCTTTGCTACTCAAGAGGCTGAACTGAGGATTAAGCTCTAGGCAGACAAATCTGAAAAGACTCTGATCTCTATTAAAAAGCCAGAAGTAGAGATGTGGCTCAAGTGGTAAAGCTCCAGCCTTAGGCAAAAACGCTATGTAAAAGCACAAGGCCCTAAGTTCAAGCCCCAGTACTGGCACCAAAAAAAAAAAAAAAAAAAGGAAGGAAGGAAGGAAGGAAGGAAGAAGGGTAGGAAAAAAAAAGAAAACTGAACTGGTATATTTGTCCTAGAGAATAAGGGTACTCATTCACCTGGTTAATGCCCCTTTGTGTTTGGAGATGCTTGTTGGTGAGCTGGCATTAGGAAATGTAACTGGTAGCCTTTTGGAGTACACTGAGACAGGCTAAAGGAAAAACATCAGCCAATTTTCTCAGCTTATAACAGAATCCTTGAGAGTCGTGCCAAGTCAAAATGATAGTCCTGGGATGAAAAGGTGAAAAAGACCATGGAGAAGTTGCATGGTGGGTTGTGACGGAGAAGGCCAATACCGCCCCCGTGCCCTGTGGCCAGTGAGTGTGGTGTCTCTGATGTTTGGTTTCCTTTAAAACAGGAATGGACCCATCGGTGGCAACTGCAGGTCCTGCAGTGACATCGGACAGTTCCTCTCAGGTAGTTAGGCCCAAGGAAAAGGCCCTCAATTCCACTGCTACCCAGAAACTCCAACAAGAGCTGTCTTCCTCAGACTGTACAGCCTCCCGGATGAGGAAAGTCAAGGTCCAGGCAGGCCTGCTACCCTCCAGTGAGGCAGCTAAAGGTGACCAGCAGGCTGGGCCCTGTGTCAACAGAGGCACTCAAACCAAGAAGTCTGGGAAAAGTGGGCAGACAAGGCATCGAGGCCAGCAGCCAGCAGCCAGCAGCATCTGCGGTCCAGCTCCACCAGCAGCAGGTGGTGAGCAGACTGCCCCTCATGTTCGAGATGCTTCTCAAGCACTGGAGCTCACCCAGTATTTCTTTGAAGCTGTTTCTTCCCAGATGGAAAAGTGGTATGAAAGGAAGATTGAAGAAGCACGAAGCCAAGCCAATCAGAAAGCCCAGCAAGACAAGGCCATACTGAAGGAGCACATTAAAAGTCTCGAAGAGGAACTTGCTAAATTGAGGAGTAAGGTGCAGAAGGAAAATTAAGACTTGGGAACAAAGGAAGATTCTTAAATTTTGGGTTCTGCAACTGCCAAATAGCTACACCCAGGGAATCGCTTATTGTATGCAGACTTTGCCTTTTAAGAAAAATCGCCAATTACTAAAATATGCCAGACACCTGCTTCTTATGCTTGGAAGTATTACAATGTCAACAACGAGGCTGAAACCAGGGGAAGCTTGCTTAGTTTCAGGTTTCATTAGAAGCTGTAAACCTCAAGGCAAGTTCATCTGGAGTTCAAAAGCTCAGTTTTAGCAAGTCACACTAAGAAATCATGTGATGTTTATGTCTAGATCCTAAACTTTCAAGACATGTAAAAGAAGTCAAAAGCAGGGCCTGCCTGGTACTGGGGGCTCACCTCTAGAATCCTAGCTACTCAGGAGGTTGAGATCTGAGGATCAAGGTTCAAACCCAGCCCTGGCAGGAAAATGAGACTCTTATCTCGAATTAACCACCAGAAAACTGGAAGTGGTGCTGTGGCTCAAAGTGGTTGAGCACTAGCCTTGAGCCAAAGAGCTCAGGGACAGAGCCCAGACCTCAAGTTCAAGCCCCACAACCAACCACAAAGAAAAAGAAAAAAACACACCTGATTGCTTGTGTTCATTCATGTACATGTATTCACCTGCTGTGCCTAGACAAGAATATCTTTCTGTACCAGAGCTGGAACTCTGAGATGTACTAGTCCATTGCTCTCCAATTTGTAATTCACTAAATGCTGGTGTTTCCACCAGAGGAAGAGTACCTGACATTGAAGGAAAAGAGATGTTCATGACGCCCAGAGATCCAGTATATCTTAAAATTTTAAGTCAGTTTTATTATAATGAATAATTGGCTACCAGCAATGTTTGTAATGAGCCAGAATGAGAAAAGTTCCAGTCTTTTGATTATGATTTCTGCATTTCAGCCTCATTAATCACAATAAGCAGATTAATAAAAGAAAAAAAATCATGTAACAACTGCCTGGACCTTCAACATATTCAGCCTATTATTGGATGGTAGCACCTTTGTTTTTATAAAGTTCCTGAAAGTATTTTATTTTGAATTGAGTTCTATCTCTGAATAACCGCAAAGGCTTTTGTCTGTTTTGCAGTGATGAAATCCAGATAATTGGATTACTTGATTTATACTCTGCTGTTAAGGCACAAGAAGAGGCTTTACTACCTGATGAAATAGAAGAAGTTCAAAAACTAAGTGATAACAGTAGCTTGGCGATGTAGAAATTTTGGATTTAATTATCTCCCTAAATCTCATCCTCTGGAATGTGTGGTTTAGCCATCTTCACCAATGTTTATGTATGAGCCGGGCACCGGTGCCTCATGCCTCTAAATCCTAGCTACTCAGGAGGCTGAGATCTGAGGATCATGGTTCAAAGCCAGGCTGGGCATGGAAGTGAAACTCTTATCTCCAATAAACCACCAGAAAACCAGAAGTGGCGCTGTGGCTCAAGTGGTAGAGTGTTAGCCTTGAGCTGAAGAGCTGAGGGACAGCGCTCAGGCCCCAGAGTTCGAGCCCCTCACCCCCAAAAAAACTCCACAACAAATGTGTATGTATAAATAGAAACCCCAATTCTGTTTCTACAAACTGTTGTCTATAATTGTGAATAAATGCTGCTCATTGAGCCAAAGAGAAAATACTGACTTGCTGACATATGGGAAACCTAGAAAAACAGGATGTTCAGCTCCTCTGTGGAGGAGTTATGGGTTTTAATACCAATCTATGAACATAGACATCGTCAGAAAGTATTTCAGATGCATGTCAAGTTGACCTTATGTGTTTGTGGCCTTGTCTTGCTCCTGTCCTTGGGTGGTGGTGGTGTCTGTGCAGCCATTCCCCATCTCTGTGGACTCTTCTCACCTCCCCCTCTCCTAATATACACACAGGCCTATAGGACTAGGGGGTACCTTCTCTTCCAAACCTATTGTAACCAAGGAATCACCCACTTACATCACTTCTGTTATTTGGGGACCTGACTACTACTCAAAGGAAAAAAAAAATCCAAGAAGTTCAGCAAGTTGTACTTCAAGTAGAAGTTATTATCACTCATCAAAATACTTCCTATTACCTCAAAGTATCCTGAGAAATGCTAAAAAAAAAAAATAGTCGTAACTGGACTAGCAAGTTTAGACCACAGAGTGCTAAGTATGGACCTCCTATTCAAGGCAGTGGTAGCTTACCACTGTGAACTGGGTGGTTTTTGTTGAGTCAAAAGGCAGAGGGAAGAGACTAGGGAGGAACGAGAAAGGGCAATGGACTGGTGTAGCACGCTGCTTCGAGTTTATCTCTTGGTTCTGTTATGAAAGAAAATCAAGTGAGGCAGAAAACAGAATAATGCCAGTCAGCCTATTAACTCCACACTTAAGTGGGGTTTTAATTTTTTTCTTTTTTGAGAGTCTCATTACAGATCAGGCTAAGCTCAAACTTGTGATCTTCCTACCTCAGCCTGGGATTATAGACATGCACCACCATTATCTGGTTTTGCAACAGTGTTTTATTTGCAATAGCTGTATTAAGTCTGGTTTTTCGGGCTTGGTGTGTGTTTTCCCCTGTGCTGCAGGCTGAAATAAGCAAATGCCTCAGCTGGCCTTTCCAAAGACAGAGAACTATCAGCAGTACCGCTGTCTTGTAGGTCATGTTTCAATTGAGGCTGGAAACTTTCAGCAGATGTCGGGAAAAGCTATGGAAAACAGAAAATTTGTACATTATTAGTGTTTTTTTTCAAAAAAATGTTAATACTTTATTGAGTATACTAAATACCTGGGATATACTGAATATGTTCTCACCTTTGATTTTGGAGTCTGAAATAAAGGAAGTGATGTTTGCCTCTTCTATTCTGAGTTAAATGTTGGTATACCTGAGATGCATGTTGCCTATTTAGTGTTTGTATCACCTTGAATCTGTGTTGCTCCAAGCATTAAACTTTCTCACCACTGTCTGGCTTAAACTACTTATTTTAAAAGATGGAAAGTGTGACTACATTGCTTAGCCCCTCTTTTCTTTTTTTGTTGGTTTTTTTTTTTGGGGGGGGGGGGGCGGGGTCTTGAATGCAGGGTCCAAGCTCTTTTGCTCAAGGCTTAGCCCCTATTTCCATCTGCCGTGGTTGACTTCATTTTACTGTGTGTGTCAGAGCACTTTCACCCAAACCACCTCACTGGTACACTTTAGAAACAACACACTGGCTTCAAAGCTGAGGTCAGGAGCACTGCGTCAGAGTACAGCCACTGGATCATAGAAAGGTTTCTGGTGCGACCTTAGCTGTTTGACCACTTAGAAAGTACTGGGAAACGAGGGGGAAGAAACCTCAGTTTGGCAGAAATGGCGCTTTGGCTCAAGTGGTAGAGTGCTAGCCTTGAGCTGAAGAGCTCAGGGACAGCACCCAGGCTCAGAGTTCAAGCCCCACGACCAAAACAAAACAAACAACAAAAAACAACCCTCCCCTCCCTCCCCCTCCCCCCCCTCCAAGAAACCTCAGTTTGGTACAGCCAAGTCTTGAGCAAACCAAGGTTTTTTATATTTTAACAAATTGTTCCTGTTGGGCTGGGAATGTGGCTTAGTGGTAGAGTGCTTCCTAGCATGCATGAAGCCCTGAGTTTGACTCCTCAGTACCACATAAACAGAAAAAGCAGAAGTGGCACTGTGGCTCAAGTGTTGAGTGTTTGCCTTAAACACAGAGAAGCTCCAGGACAGTGCCCAGCCCTGAGTTCAAGCCCAGGCAGCAAAACAAAACACAAATTGTTCCTATCAGTTAAAGTACATCTGCGGATGATAAAAGACAAAGATGACTTAAAAATCAGTTTAAATTTTTTTTAGTGAGTGAAACTTTAACCTTTTATTTGTAATAAGGGGGAAATTATCTTTCCCTTTAATATTCTATGTATGTTTGGTGTTGGTATTGGAGCTTGAACTTAAGGTCTGGGCACTGTCCTTGGCTTTGTCACTCAAGGTTGGTGCTCTTATCACTTGAGCCACAGCTCTACTTCTGGTTTTTTTTTGGGTCCGGTCGTGGGGCCTAAACTCTGGGCCTGGGTGCTGTCTCTCAGCTCTTCAGCTCATGGCTAGTGTTCTACCCTTTGAGCCACAGCACCACTTCCGGCTTTTTTCTTTTTGCTTATGTGGTGCTGAGGAATTGAACCCAGGGCCTCATGGATGCAAGGCAAGTGCTCTACCACTGAGCTACCTTCCCAGCCCTCTCCTTCTGGTTTTTAATAGTTACCTGTAGATAAGAGTCTCAGACTTTTTTGCCCAGGCTGGCTTTGAACTGTGATCTCAGCCGCCAGCACCCAAGAAAAAATGTTGCCTTAAATCCAAGAGTCTCAAAAGACATAGTACAACATTAAAAAAAAAAAAGTTACTTTTCAATCAAAAGACAAAAGATAACTTATTAAAAGACTGACAAGTGACCCCATGCCTGTAGCTCATGCCTGTAATGCTTGCCAGGCTAGATGCAGAGATCTGAGGATAACAGTTCAAAGCCAGCTCAGGCAGGAAAGCCAGTGAGACTCTTATCGCCAATAAACCACCAGAAAACCAGAAGTGGCACTGTGGCTCAAGTGCAGAGCGCTCCTCTTGAGCTGAAGAGCTAAGGGTCAGCACCCAGGCCCAGAGTTCAAGGCCCACGACTGACAAAAGTCTAACAAGCAGAGACAATTGCCCTAGTGATTTATAGTCTGGCAGATGAGTTTGTCTCAATCCCCTTTGGGCCTTACCATACACATAATCCCATCTCAGGGCCAATGGCCTGCTTCCTGCTTTTACTAGCATTTTTCCCCAGCTGTTCAGGAACAACTTAGACAAGTTGAGGTCTCCGCCTATGCAGGAGAGGCAATGGTATAACTGCTATACTACAAACAGCATAGAATATATTCCACCATCTATAGTTATTACAAACGTCTTTGTTTCTAGGCATATCTACACAATACTAGTCTAGTGAGTTTAAAATTCCAAATGATACATTTTAATTTAGTGCCTAGTACTAAGGAGGTAGACAATCTATTATTTGAGCCATGTTCCTCTAGGCCTTTTTGCTTGTTATTTTTCAAATAGGATCTCAAGTTTATGCCCAGGCCAGCCAAATCATGGGTATCCTATTTATGCTTCTTGCCTACCTGGGATGATAGGTGTATACCACCATCTGCCGGAGAGGTTCATCTTGATCAAAATCCAGCTTTCTATTGGTTGAGATGTGGTCTTGAGAGCTTTTTTTTGGTCTGGGGCTGGGCTGGAACTACCGTCCTCATTTCTGCCTACCAATGTGTGAGCCACCAACATCCAGCCAAAAGATCTTTTTAAATATAAAAGAATTGGTTTATTATAGTTTACATACATAAAATTGAATATTCAAACAATAAGCTTTGGGAATAAAAGTTTAACATTTAAAGAGGCAGTCTATATTTGAGCCTGCATGGAACCATACCACACTTGTATCACTGCAAAATTCTGTCTTTGTCTTTCAGGTGCTGGGCTAATTTCTGAGCTCTGTTGATAAACAGAATTGTGTTGGATACAAGGTTGACAATCCGGGGTTGGGAAGGTGGCTCAGCAGTAGGGTGCTTGCCTCGCATGCATGAGGGTCTGGGTTCGATTCCTCAGCACCACATAAACAGAAAAGGCCGGAAGTGGCACTGTGGCTCAAGTGGTAGAGTGCTAGTCTTGAACTGAAGAGCTCAGGGACAGCACCCAGGCCTAGAGTTCAAGCCCCACAACCGACAAAACAAAAACAACAATCCCAGAGTTCTCCTCTGTTTTCACTAAAGTACTTGTATAAATTAGACATTTTCCAAGAGTAACCTGAAACAACTTTGTTGTATTTGTCTGTGTTGGTGTTCTTCAAATTATCCTCTTCAGGTCGGTAGAAGAAAATGTAACTAGCTCTTTAATTATTCACGTCATTTGGATGTTAAGTTAATCGTGGGAATTCCTTGTCTTCTCTCCCCTTTTTGGTAGTTCAATATGTTCGTTAGCTTTTTTAAGAAAAAATTCTAAGCTGGGCGCCAGTGGCTCTCGCTTTTAATCCTTGTTACTCAGGAGGCTGAGATCTGAGAATCGCGGTTCAAAGCCAGCCCGGGCAGGAAAGTCTGTGAGACTCTATGTCCAATTAACAGCAGAAAAACAGAAGTGGCACTGTGGCTCAAGTGGTAGAGCGTTAGCCTTGAGCTCAAGAGCTCAGGACAGCAGTTTTAAGAGTCCTTGGTTAACAAGTGATGACACCCTGAAGAACATACTTCAGTCTTGAAAGGGAATGCAGAAGGATTTTTCCAACAAAGTTCCAAGAAGTGTTTCCTGAGGTCAGTATAGTTCTATTCCTAAATTCAGTATTATTTTGAACAGGTTTTTTAAACTTACATATCCTACATTTTAAGTGGATTTGAGTATAGTCACTGGGTCTGTGTGTGTATATATACTTTTGTGTGTGTGTCTGTGTTGGTCCTGGGGGTTGAACTCAGTGCCCAAGCAGTTTTTTAAGCCCAAGGACCAGCGCTGAGATATTTCATGAAAACAAAATCACATGCTATCTTCTATAACTAGCTCCTATAAAATGGTATTAAAATCCATTCATGTGTATCATTTATCAGATTATATTATCAAATATTTTTATTGTATGAATATTCTGTACTTTATCCATTTATCAGTTAATGGATATTTTGGTTGTTTCCACTATTTGGTTATCATGAAAATGCTGAATGTTCATGAACAGATTTTTTTTGCCAGTCCTGGACTTGAACTCTGGGCCTGGGCAACGTCCCTCAGCTCTTCAGCTGAGGCAAGCACTCTACCACTTGGGCCACAGCGCCACTTCCAGCTTTTTCTGCTTATGTGGTGCTGAGGAATCTAACCCAGGGCCTCATGCATGCAAGGCAAGCACTCTACCGCTGAGCTACCTTCCCAGCCCATGAACAGACTTCTTATAGAATTGCTAAATCACATGGAATTCCCTGTGACCTGATGAGGAACTAAGGTTTTTATTCATAGTGCCTGAAGTTATTTTGTTTCCATCAGCAATATTAGGGTTCCAAATTCTCTATATGTTCACCAACACTTATTTCATTTTTATTCACAGACTCTATTGTAGTGTAAGTGAAATAAATGTTCTCTTGGCTTTTGCCTTTCCCTGATGATTGTGATCTTCTTTTTATGTGCTAGATACCTGGCCATTTGACTGACTTTGAACTATCAAAAGTAGAGATTTGAAAATACTTCAGATACGGTATAATTATCATTTTGCTAAAGCAAGTGTCTTCTCTAACTCCTTTAGCTGTATATTGCCTTGAGTAATCATCATGCGGATGGTATCCTGTAGGAGAAAGTGAAATCTAGTCATTGTCTTACCAGGCTCAACAAGGTACAGTTCTACTGTTTTATTTATTATAGTCAAGAACCAATAGTAGGGAGTCAGGGGGTGTAGCTCAGTGGTGGAGTGTGGACTTGGCATGCACAAGGCTCTCATACAGTCCCAGCACCAAAACCACACACCTACACCCACACCACCAATAGTGGGAACTAGAGCTGCTGCATATTCGAAAGCCAAAAGCTATATGGAACAGCATGAAAGCGAGGTAACGCTAATGTCCAGATACAGCAATGTTAGTAAATTTGAAATATTTATTAAAAAATCAGCAATGATCATTGATGATCAAAGTATACCATCTCGGTGACATTCGTTCTCCAAGGTGTTCCTAGCATTTCACAAATCAATTCAAGAGTCTGGGGCTGCCCTCACCGTTCTCTAGTTCTTACCTCTTCGGTAGCACCTTTGTTCCTTTTAAATTCTTCCCTTGCCCAGTCCTTCAGGTATTTGCGATCAGAATCATTTGGAACCTGTCGAATTGCTTGCAAAATCCTTCTGTAGAGGTGGAGAACCTGTTGCCTTCTCATGAACTATTCAGGAGAGGGGAAATGGGGGGGGGGTCTTCATTTTTATCTTGGTAAAGAAAGTGGCCATGGGGGGGGCGTTTGCTTACTCTTAAGAAACTTGAGTTGACTCTTACTTGTCAGAGAGAGGGTCGCCCGTCTCCTAAAGCTACCATAGCTATCAGCAACACCTGTGTGCAATTAGCCCAGCTGAAATGGTTCGGTGGCGTGGTCTGGCTGGTGCGTTACCACGGGTCGGTGCAGCAGGACACCTCTACCTTGGCCTGAGAGACCGGAAGATGAAGCGCCCGCCCCGCCCCGCCCCGCAGCAGGAAGTCCCGCCCCCACGCCTACGGGCTCGAGCCCGGGACTTGTCCAGGTTTCCCTTTCATCCCAACCTGTCCCACTCTATCAACAGGGTTGCGAGTCAAGAGGTTCAGAATCTAGAATTGCTGCTTTAGAAGAACGGAGTCGGCTGGTACCTGCTTTAGAGTTAGCGTAGCTGGCGGCAAACGGGAAGCGGCCATGATCTCCCCCACGGAGGGCTCCAAACGCTAATGCGCAAAAGCGGAAGTGAGGGGGTGTGGGGCGGGGCTATGCCGGTGTCCTAGGAGACGGCGCTGTGTCCGGGAGCCGGAGCCTGGCGGGCGGGAGGGAAGCCCGGGGCGTGCATCCTGGGCACGCGTCAGACTGCAGTAGCAGGGATCGCCAACTACGAGCCGGAAGGCGCCGGGCACAGGTCTCGGCGTGCGATGTAGCGAGGCATCTATTACGTGGAGGAAAGTGTTTCACGGAGGGGAGGCAGCTAAGTTCGTGTGCCCTTTGGACCCGCTGTGTGTGTCAGCCTGCGCCGTTGGAAAGGCCTGGGCTGGGGCTGGTGGCCCAGCGCCCCCGCCTCCGCGCGGGAGAGCGAGGCCCGCGCTCGGAACTGTCCCTTCAGTGTTGGCGTCCCGCACGCCTTCCCATGGTGGGGATATTCCACGAAGGGTTTTTAAATGTTAGACAATCGCTCCGTATCCCCAGCTCCCTCCCCCATTCCGAGTTAGAGTTTGATGAACGTTCCCCTAACTCCATCGATTCTGCTTGCTTCTGCACCCCGCCCCCCAATAGCTGGGATTTCAGCTATGCACCCACCTAAGCCTGGCTCCATTCTCTTTTTGCAAGTATTTCCCCTAAGCAGTGGTCATCAGCGTTTGTGACAAGGCTTCAAGGTCTGTCCCACAGGTGGAAGAAGCCAACATGTCCAGCCTCGAGCTTTTACTTTCTAATTGTTTAATCTCCATGACGCACGCTACACATCCTAAAGTTGGATATCCAGAATTGAGGTTAGTGAACTTTTTGCCATATTGTTTTCCAAACAGTACTGTATCTAATTAAAGTACCACCTCAAACATCCATTCAGTTACCCCTTTGCGAAGCACCTGCTTGATTGCACATGCCTGGTCTGAGAGTTCAGATGCTTTTCCTAAAGCTGCGTTCCAGCCTCTTTTCCCCACCTGTTTCCTCTCTCTCTAGTGTGAAGTGAAACAGCCTCTACCTCACAAGCACCAGAACTACAAAGAAACAGGATCGTGCACGTGTAAGAATTTGAATCGTTAGCTCTTTTGCTTTAACCTGAATGCATTTTAGCTAATAGCTGGGTGACACCTGTCATCAGCTGTGAAGCATGCTAGCTCTATGAAAATGGTGTCAATGGTATGTTATTCAAAATTTCTATAAAACAGGAAAAAATTTTGCAGATTTTTAAAGTTCTAATGAAGCTAAATAACTAGTCATTTTCGTTGATTTAGTTGACGGCAGGTTTATTTTAATGATAAAAGCTGTATTCTAGTTTACATGCTCTTGTTCTTTGTTCTTTTGTTTTGGTCATTTCTTGACAGATAAAATAAAGTCTGTACTGTCTTGTGTGTGTGTGTGTGTGTGTTTTGGATCTGGTCGTGGGGCCTGAACTCTGGGCCTGGGCACTGTCCCTCAGCTCTTCAGCTCAAGGCTAGTGCTCTACCACTTGAGCCACAGTGCCACTTCCGGCTTTTTTCTTTTTGCTTATGTGGTGCTGAGGCGAACCCAGGGCTTCATGCATGCAAGGCAAGTGCTCTACCACTGAGCCACCTTCCCAGCCCCTCTTGTGTGTTTTTTTGTTTCTTCCCCACTCTCCGTTTGGTGCTGGCCCTGGGGCTTGACCTGGGCACTGTATCTGAGCTTTTTTTTTTGCTGAAGGCTAGTGCCTTACCACTTGAGCTACAGCTCTACATCTGGCTTTTTGGTAGTTAAATGCAGATAACGTTTTATAGACTTTCCTGACTGGGCTGGTTTCAAGTTGTGATCCTTAGATCTCAGCCTTCTGAGTAGCTAGGATACAGATATGAGCCACTAGCACCTAGTGATTTCCCCAAAACCTCCCCCCCCCCCTTTTTTTTTGCTAGTCCTGGGGCTTGAACTCAGGGCCTGGACACTGTCCCTGAGCTTCTTTTGATTAAGGATAGCACTCTACCACTTGAGCTACAGCACTGCTTTGGCTTTTTCTGTTTACATGGTACTGAGGAATCAAACCCAGGGCTTCATGCATGCTAGGCAAGCACTCTACCACTAAGCCACATTCCCAGCCCCTGGTAATTTCTTTTGAGACTTTCCAGTTTCAACTTTTCCCATACAGGCTTTGTAACATTTTACTGTTTATTTCAATTCTTAAAATATTTGCTCCAGCTAGAATTTGTTTGACATAGGCAGATCTAGGTTCTTTCCTGGACATTACTGTAATTGCTGTGCCACTTATTAAATCATTACCTTTTCTGGGCTTTGTGATATTTTGACTACATGGTAAATTGTATTTAGGGGTTAAAGCATTCAGGCTTATTTTGGCTTAGGCATATATTAATTTCTTCTTCTCTCTGTGTAGGTTAGCACTCTACCACTTGAGCCACAGCTCCACTGCCGGCTTTTTCTGTTTATGTGGTAATGGGGAATCAAACCCAGGGCTTCATGCATGCTAGGCAAGCACTCTACCAGTGGGCCTCATTCCCAGCCCTAGCATTAATTTTGAGTATTTTTTATATGGCAGGACCCTAATTTCTTACAAGAATCTTCTATTAGTATGCTATATGGCCATAGAATTGTGTGTGTGTGTGTGTATGTGTTATTGGGTCCTGGTGGCTCATGCCTGTAAATCCTTAGCTACTCAGGATGCATAGATCAGAAAGAACATGGTTTGAGGTCACAGGCAATTTCCCAGACTCCATCTCTACCAACAGCTAGCTAGGTGCAGTGGTACTAGCCTATCATCCCAGCTACAACAGGATGCTGAGACGGAAAGGACTGTAATGCCTTACTAGCCTAGGCAAAAACCAACCAACAACTCAGGAGACCTCCCTATCACAACAGAAAAAAGTTGGGTGTTGTCTAAACTGTGTCAGAAAGTGTAAAACAGGATTGTGGCCCAGGCTGGCCAGGGCAAAAAGCTAACTCAAAAATAACCAGAGCAAAAAGAACTGGAGGGAGGCTTAGGAGGTAAAATGATGGCATAGCAATCATTGAACCAAGTTCAAGCACTAGTGCAAAGACATGTCGTTCTCTCTAAATCATCTTACAATATTAACACAAGAATAGCTATTTTAAATATAGTTTTTATTATGATTAAGATGTTGTACAGAGGGATTACTATTTCATAAGTCAAGTAATGAGTACATTTCTTTTTTTTTGGCCAATATCATCCTTTGTTAACCCTTCCTCTTTCCTTTTTCCTCTGTACCTACCTCCCTACACCCCCCCACCCCAAACAAAAAAGAGCCCCAAAGCAAAAACAATCACCACCACTACCACTACCCCCCAAAAATCCTCGTTTCCTTTTGCTGCAATTTGTTTTGATAAATAGTATTTTAAAAGTTCAGAGAAGTTATACTTTGGGGCTCCTCCCCTAACAGTATCCTGATTTAGTCTGTATATGAATATGAATGCCCAGAATCCTGAATGTTATTATGTCGTTATGTTTTTTTTTAGTTCATTTTGATAAATATTAGATCATCAGAGGCATAGAAGCATCAGGCCTTGTGTTCCTCCCTTGAGTATCCTCCTTTGGTCTCACTGTGTGTGAATGTCTAGAGTCCTGTATAATTTATCATGTTCTAGTGTATGCTAGATCTTAAACTTCCACATGAGAACATAGTCTGAGTTTGGCTTACCTCACTCAACATGATTTTTTTCTACGTCCATCCATTTCCCTGCAAGTGACACAACCTTATCCTAATGTACGAGTAAAATTCCATTGTGTATATGTACCATGTTTTTTATTGACCACTCATTTATTGTAGGGCATCTGGGCTGTTTCTATAACTTGACTATTGTGAGTAATGGAGCAATGAACATGGATGCACAAGTTTTACCATATTGTGACTTATAATGATCTGGGTAGATGCCTAACAGTTGTATGGCTGGGACACAGGGATTATCTATGTTTAGTATTTTTTAATTATTATTTTTTGTGGCCATGGGACTTGAACTCTGGGCCTGGGTGCTGTCCCTGAGCTCTTCAGCTCAAGGTGAGCAACTCTACCACTTGAGCCACATTGCCACGTCTGGTTTTCTGGTGATTAATTAGAGATAAGTCTCATGGACTTTTTCCTGCCTGGGCTGGCTTTGAACCGTGATCCTCAGATCTCAGCCTTCTGAGTAGCTAGGATTACAGGGCGCTTGGCCTCTTTACTTGAGGAACCTCCAAACCTCCTTCCAGATTGGTTGTACTAGTTTACATCCCAACCAAAAGCGCAATAGGGTTCTTTTTTCCATATCCCAACCAGCATTTGTTGCTCTAATTTGTGATATTGGCCAGTCTAACTGGGATGAAATGGAATATTTTTTTATTTGCGTATTTTTTTATGGTCAAGGATTTGAACTTTTCCTTGTGTTTATTTGTCCTCCCTCCCTTCTTTCCTTCCTTCCCTCCCTCCTTCCTTCATCTCTCTTTACCTCCTTTGTCCATTTGATTTTTGTTAGTTCTTTGAGGGTAATTTTAAAAATTAATTTTGTTGGTCTTAGGGCCCGAAATCTGGGTCTGGGCTCTGTCCCTCAGCTCTTCAGCTCAAGGCTAGCACTTTACCAGTAGAGCCACAGTGCCACTTCTGGCCTTTTCTGTTTATGTGGTACTGAAGAAACCAACCCAGGGCTTCATGCATGATAGGCAAGCACCCTACTACTAAGCCACATTCCAAGACCCTAGGCGGGTTACTTTTTTGCATACTGGTTATTTTTGCCCAGGGAATAATGAAGGGTAGGAGAAATGTTCAGACTGGCCTGGACTTAAGATCTTTCCCTTTATTGCTGGGATGATAGCCATTAGTTGAGATGGAACATGCCAACTTATTTTTTGTCAGTTGTGGGGCTTGGACTCAGTGCCTGGGGGCTGTCCCTGAGCTCTTTTGCTTAAGGCTAGAGGCCTACCACTTTGAGCCACAGCTCCACTTCTAGTTTTTGAGTGGTTCATTGGAGACAACAGCCTCATGACTTTCCTGCCTGGGCTGGCTTTGTGCTGCCATCCTCAGATCTTAGCCTCCTAAATAGCTAGGATTACAGAT